CCCCTCCCCCAGATAACCAGAATCACCTACTTTAGATCCGTAACTTTGAATAGATGTATGGTCAATCTTGGTGTTCTTATTTCCTCATAATTAATGTTAATCGCGTGGAATTACTGTCCAAAAAGGGAATACAGTTCTCGTTAAACCTTTACACATTTAGATTAAGTATTCTAAAAAAGAGATTATAGTAAGATTAGAAAAGTTCCCAACTATATATATATATATATATATATAAGAATGATAAAATATATATAATTTAATATTTATATTTCAGATTTAATATATATTATTAAATAATTATATAAACTAATTGAATTAAAATTTGAATTTATAATAATCATTTCAAGAACATTTAAAATGAGCTTATAAAAATGCTTTATAAATAAGTATAAAGAGTATGACGAAGGTATTAAACCCTAGACCATACTCTGCGTTGAGCATACGTGAATCCAAGAATTTTCTTGGATTTGACATTAGTGATTCCTGTGCGCCAAAATCTTCTTTCTTTGTTTAGGCCCTTCTAAATTACTGAGGGACAATTGTGAGAAGCAAGAAATCTTCACTACCTTTTGACCGTTTCCCAAACTTAACCTCTCCTATTAGGTATTGAAAGCAAATAAACAACCGGCAACGGGGTTGGCACTAGTGGTAAAGGGTGAGGTCTTGGTGTAGAAGTATTCGGATTTAAGTTTCCCCATAATTTTTCGTGAGTAGACGATATATAAATTCAAAAAATCAGTAGGTGAAAGTTTAATCAATCCATAAATTTTAATTGGATTGATTGCTTGTTCTAACTTTAAAGATACGATAACCATCTTTACTCTTAAATTTTTTCATAAATTAAAAAAAAAAAACTGTGCAAACAGGTTCATACTAGAAAGGGTCATTTATATTGTCATACAGTGTCTAGGCTTATCTTGATCCCTGATTGGGATCTGAACAAGTGAGAAAAACAGTTGTTCACCTGTCAACATTAGGCCATTCTATTAGTGTGCATGACCAACTTTATTGTGGTGCCATTTTTTTTTATTTCTTATTTTAGATAACTGATATATATTGTTGTAATGCTATAGTTAACTAATTAATTAATTTTTTCAACAACAAGTACAAATTAATTATGTTTGGAAGAACAAATATATTTAAATCCTCAATGATTGTTTTCATGTATAAATTGGTGCTAACATAATAAAATATTTGAAAAATAAATAGTATGAACGACAATCTTTGTTTTTTTTTTTTAATTCTTGATGATGAGCATAACGTACGGATATATACCTTAAACTCCACTGCCCTATTTTCATGCAGGCATGCTCCCCCTTTTTCCCAACCTAGCTAATATTATAAAAGATAGAACTTTTTCTAAAATTTAAATAGGTTGATAAAAAAAAAACAATTTGAAAATAAGAAATGAGAGAAATGGGTAACATAATTGATCTTAGCAATATATACAGCATGCAAAAATATATAGGAACTTAATTAGAAATGTTTGCCACTAGAACTTAATTGAACCGAATTTTTTTTTTTTTAGAATTTTGGGTTTTTTTTTTTTTTGGTTTTTACAACTGAAATCCAATTGGGGTTTGAGTTATGCAATAAAAAGGAAAATAATCTTTTTTCTCATAAATCTTTTATTTTAATTTTTAACTTGAAATTTTACAATTGAAAATTTTATATTTTAAGTTCTGAAATGTCGCTTAAATTCATTTACCCTTAGTACTGAAGTTTCTTGTTTAAGAACAAACTTTTGTCAAATAAAGGGAATTAAGATAGTCAAATTTGTACATTGGAAAATTTCAACGCCTGCCTCCAAATGACCTCGTGGGTTGAATAGAGATACTTTCCTTTTTTGACGCTTTCCATTGAACACGTGATTGCTATAGAAGCTGAATTGGAAACCAGATGCTAATTAATTACAACCAATTAAAGGAATACACTTCGTTTTATTCTAGCTTTACCCTTTAAAATTATAAAAAAAAAAAAATCAAAGAAACATAATTGGAGAAGAAGAAAAAATCAATCTAAGATTAATTGCTTTGTGATACTAATTGTCCCCCTGCAATTTATAAAGATGATGTCCATATTTCTAAAGATGCATGATATTTATCATAGGAATAACGTATTGGGAAATGAAGCTACTAAAGATCATTTGAAAATTGGTAAATTTTAGGGTTTATCATTTTAAGGCTGATGATGAAATGGCTATCACCAAATTGATTGAGTTAAATGGTAAGGATTGAGCAAGCAATTCATGCAACTAGTAGTGTACTTGATTTGGCTCGTAAGTCGCTTAAATGAAGAACTAATGACTTGACTCTAATAATTTTTCTTGTCAAACCATAACAAGACGTAAAGCCCAAAAAAAAAAAAAAAGTCCTTTGTATTCTGTTTATTCTTTTTTTTTTTAATTAAAAATAATAAAAACCAAGATACAGTTTGTTATTAGCCAGCTAACAGGTAAACAAGTTCCGAAGCCAACATACAAAATAATTATAGAAAGTGGTTTACCATTTATATATGAATGTTTTATAATTATATATATATAATAATGTTCATTGACTTTATAGATAATTAATTAATTTTTATTTATGTGGTGCTTTATTTATTTATATGAAAGTTCTCGTATCACTTGTTGATGCATAAATTAGTGTAAAGAGGAAAAAGATATGTACATATATATATATATATATATATTTAACTCGTGCATGTCTTGTTATGCTGTCTTAAGATTACCAATCTATAAATGTCAAATACTTTATTTATTGAGCAACTTATACTGAATTAATTAAAGAAATTATCTATTGCATAATTATATTTAAATATTACATTTAATAAATTTGTAGTTAATTATATATTATATATGCATTATTGAACAAGTGGTTAGGTATCCAATGTAAATAAGATTTAAATAAAACTTTGTTAATATTATTCTATTTTTATAATTTAAAATTGATCAATGCAAATGGTTCTTAATTTGGATTTAAGATGGAATATGCCATGCCCATGAGTTCATCAGGTTTTGCCATGGTTGAAATTGGATGCAAGGTTTTAAAAAGTGATGAAGATGGGAAATATTTACAGCTTGGTCACAGCATCATTACAATTGGTTAGGCTTTCATTTTCAAGGGCTGCTCAACTTAAGTTTGCACGGTTAGAGGTGTTCATAATTTGATTTTAATTAAATTAATTAATTAAATTGATTTAATTTGGTAATTAATTTTGATTAATTGGTTAGTCATCAAATTAATTTTAGTTGATTAATGAAAATAATTTTAAAAAAATTTTGATTTTCGATTAATTCGGTTCAAAAATTAAATTAATCAAACTAATTAAAATTTTAACCAAAATATAATATATTTCATATATAAAATGAAAAATATATGAAACTAATCATTTTATATCATAAGTTGTTAGAATTTTTAACATAATATTTTGATATTTAAATATTTTATTAAATAATTTTATTTAATTTTTTTTAAATATAAAAAATTAAAAATAAAAAATTTAATTTAATTTAATTTAAATATATTTATTATTTGATTAATAAAAAAATTAATAAAACCAATCGAATTTAATTCAATTAATTAAAATTTAAAATTAATATATTTAATTCAATTAACTAAAATAGAATAATTTAATTTAATTAATTTAATTTTAAATAATTTAATACAAAATTAATTGATCCAAACGAATAAATAAATACCACGATTACGCCTCTCTCGTTGTACCTTAGAGGGGAAAACAAAATTTAATAATAACTTGAGCCCAAATCAACCAGTTGTATTAAGTTTGGGTCAATAGTGTAGACCACTTCATGAAATATATAACATTTGATGAACTGATATAGCCAAATTGAACAAAAGTCAAGCCAATACAAGGGGCACTGACGGCTGAAAGGAGAGGAGGGCCGTTCAGGGTGGGGGAGGAGACGACAAAATGGGACCCACGCGCCGCAGCACCATTGCCCACTTGCCCCATCTCTCCAATTGTTTTATTCTCCGTCCCTCTCTCCTTAACCTAACTTGGTCAACTTGTGTAGTACTAACCATAGTTAAAATTTTTGGAGTCCAAACCCGCATGACCAACATCCATCATCTAACCCCATCCACACAATCCTCTCCCCTTCCAGGGTTCATTTGCTCAAATGTTTTTATAATTAGAATTGGATTTATATCACGCCAGCATATGAAACAACAACCCTCACTCTCCCTCCTTGCCGCGTGATCCACAACCCTTCAGTCCAAAAACAAAATCAAGTCCTTAATAAGTTGAGTATATAAATTCATTCGTCTTTTTAATATCAAAATTTTTAATTAAATGACTTTTTCATGTATAAATAAGGAAAATCATTGATTTTTTTTAAAAATCATGGCAAATTCGAAATCTTTATTTTTAAAATAAATTTTAGAATTACCTAATTAACATCTCATTAATAATAGGTTCCTGTCTTTGTATATGAAATTATGGCAGTATTTTAAAAGATGTTAAAAAGTTAATTTATTTGTTTTATCTAAAAGGTTTATGTGTTTTAATTCTTCTAGAATTTCTCATTGTTTTCCATGCTAATATGAAGAAGAATAAAGTTTCTTAATTTGAAGTAGTGGTATTTTTTTTCTCTATTAATTTGGTGGCTTATTTCTTAATTTATTATTTAATTTAATTTTTAAATAAATTTATATTTAATACACTATTAATATATAATTTTTTCATAATATCAATAAATTAAATTATAATATTTTATTAGTAACTAAATATTAATTTTTAAAATAAATATATAAAAAATTAATATTTTTAAAATACTTATTCATTAATAAAATGTCTATACATATCTTTAATAAAATAATACTACCTAATTCATTATATACTAACAGACCATTAATAAACTCTTTTCTAATATACTAATGTATTAAATGGCACGCTCCAAAAATGAGAGTAGGGTTGGCATCCACCAACTTCTCTTCTCAAAAATAAAGAAAAGGAAATATTAAAAAAATTCTCATCAATTATTTTATGTATATAAACTTTTGGGATGAGAAATGACTGCGAATTTTTTAGAGACTTTGTCCTATCTCCTTCCCCTTCTTCTTCCTCTTTCCTTTCCCTTCCCTTCCCTGCACTCGATCTCCCCATTTTCTTCTCGTTTGTTTTTAATTTCTATAGGAAAAAAAAAAAAAAAGAAAACCCCTTTCTCTCCTTATTAGGATTCAAATCTTTTATTTCTTCAAGTCCGGGAGAGGCCTTGCCTTTCCCTTTCTTTCCCTCTTATTTATAATTTACCCCCTCGCTTGTCTTAAAATAAACCATAAACAGTTTTTAATCTAAACCCATAATTTATATATATTTTGTTTTTTAAAAAATTTATTTTAATCCTTTGTTTTTCTTTGTTTTCTGTTGCCCTTTGATGGTGGCATGGCTGGTCTTGATTTAGGCACCACTTCTCGCTACGGTCATCAGCTTCACAGGCCGGACCTTCACCTTCAACAGCGTCCTGAACCTGAAGACCACGACGTTTCAAACAACCGTGTTGGTGGCGGAGGAGGTGGTGCTCACTATGGCTCAGCTGACCATCACCAAGACGATGGCTCTCACCAAGCGTTGGAGTTAGTCAACGCAGCTAACTCGGGTGACCTTCTAGGCCGTAGGCCGAGAGGTCGTCCTCCAGGTTCCAAGAACAAACCAAAGCCTCCAGTCATCATCACAAGGGAGAGCGCAAACACGCTCCGAGCTCACATTCTTGAAGTTGGGAACGGCTGTGATGTGTTTGACTGTATTGCAAACTACGCTCGGAGAAGGCAAAGAGGAATCTGTATACTGAGTGGGAGTGGTACGGTGACCAACGTGAGCATTAGGCAACCAGCTGCTACTGGAGCTATAGTTACCCTTCATGGCAGATTTGAAATATTATCACTTTCAGGTTCATTTTTGCCACCACCCGCTCCTCCAGGTGCCACCAGTTTGACAATCTATTTGGCTGGCGGGCAAGGCCAGGTTGTAGGAGGAAGTGTCGTTGGGGAACTGATGGCGGCAGGACCTGTTATTGTCATAGCTGCATCGTTTACAAATGTGGCTTATGAGAGGCTGCCCTTGGAGGAGGATGACCAGCTGCAGATGCAAAGTGGCGGCGGCGGCGGAAATGGTGGAGGTGGTGGAAACAACATGTTTGCTGATGCGGGAGCTGGCACAGGAGGGTTGCCTTTCTTCAATTTGCCACTCAATATGCCGCCTAATGTCCAGTTACCCGTTGAAGGATGGCCAGGAAACTCAGGTGGCAGGCCTCCTTTTTGAGAGATTTGGGTGGGAATGCGAACTTTCGATGGAAAATTCAATACTTGTTGAGAAGCAGTTTGCATTAGTGGAAAAGGGATTCTTAGATCATTAAGGTTAGCAAATTCATGGACTAGTTATCGTTATTATCACCATGATCATGCTTCTTCTTCTTCTTCTTCCACTTCCTGTGATGTTGATGTTAATTTTAGTTTCTTTTTCTCCTTTAATCTTTGTTTTAGTTCTTTCTTTTTTTTTCATCTTTTCTTCTTCTTTCTTCTCGGATATTTGGAATCTATGATTTCTAGAAAGAGTCCTTGTCCATGGCGGATCGACTTTCTTCTTCTCTATAAGAAATGGTTTGATGATGCATTAACTTTTGTTGGATAATATCAGTCACTGACTTTCAGGTTTACTAACAGATCAACTAGGGTTTATTTTCTTTCTCCTAATTTTCTTTTCTTCAAATTTCACATTTTAAATTTGCATCATATCATTCTTTCATTCTCCTGTTAGACCAACAGATATAATTCTTGTCCCTCGTTGTTTACAACAGTTTCTTTCATGGAGTTAACAAAGTACTTAAAAAGGCTTTCCAAAGTAAATCTTGTAGGATTTGGTAACGTAGGATTGTGTTTTCTTTGCATTGTTTTCAGCAGAGAATAAATATAACAGTATAAAATATAATTAAGAGCCAAGGGTTTCATCACTTGGGGATTCTTCTTGTTCGAATGGTGCCTTACCCAACACGAGATTTGCATTGATGTTCAAGATGACATTTCTTGATATATATCTAGCTCTGTTGGGAATAATTAAGCTGCTTCTATTTTTCTATTACATGACATTCCTCTCTTCTAAATCTTTTGAACTAAACCATAACATAATTAAAACCCAAGCACCTTCTCTGTAATAAATTATTTCTGAAATCAGTTTTGCATCAGAAACTAGCTTCCATTTATTCTTCAAATAAGCTCTCAAATCTCCCATGAACAAGATTGAAATAGAAGCATTTCTGATGGAGTCTTGTTATCTGTGGTGAATATCTATGAAGGGTGATTCAATATCTATCTAGTTGAGCAAAGAGTCAATATCCATATATGCATTCAGCTTGCAACAACACTGTTTTGTGGCTATCTACTCAGATTCAAGTACTGCTTCTGATAATCTTAGACACCCATTTGGGGTTGGGAGTCAGTACTATAAGAATAGAAATGAATGCTGTCCTTAATCTTAAAATCAGCCTTTGCATATATAGTTCCAGAAAGAAGTACCAATATATATATACATATATATATATATATATATAGTAGCAGTAATCTCTCTCCTTGTCAATTGGATGGATGACAAATTCTATTTCCTCACAAAAAATGTTAAAGATATATATTATCTTATTATATATATAATTTCTTGAACATTGTTCTTGCTTTAATAAGTCTAACTAAATAAATTATAAGTAATAATGTAAAAATGTTATGGAAATCATGGGGCACTCTTTTAATTATAAAAGTACAGTATGTTTAATAATCTTAAAGCTACTGTCTCTATCTTTTTGGTGTTTGTTAATGAATCCCTACAGTTGTGCATTGGTTTAAAAATATGAATCACAGTACTCTTTCATGGGAAAGGATATATTAACTTAACTAGGCTTTTTCATCTACTCATACTTAATTTTAGAGCCTTTCTTCCCCGGCAGTCCTCTCCATTATCACTGCCAATATGCATGCTCTTGTTTAATCCTCTTGATGCCGATTCCTTGCTTACTGTAATAACCTCAATTTTAATAAAAAATTTCACGAATTTCAACTCGTCTTATCCTCTATCAATATTGGACTTAAATATATATTCTTTAATTATATTTCGTGAATGACTCAACTTATTCCCCACTTTGAATCCATATACACCTAGGTTTCATTATGGAGGAAGGAAAATGCTTGCCTTGCGCCAATTATCAACATTTCTTTAAACAAATTATTCTCATTGTGCTTTGTTTGAAGAGAGAATTGTATTTTAATCAGTCTTTTTGGTACTAAAGAACTCTGACTAGTTCTAGAATATGCCCCCAAAAAATTTTCTTCTAGCAGTTGCTTGGGTTTTTGTTTCCTTTGGATCAGTGTCTTGTTTTGATGCCAACACTGTGTATGGTGAAGCAATGAAATCTTAGAAGTTGAATGAATATATATGAACCACCCCTTGCATATAATATATCCTCTTCTTCTATGAAATATAAAATCAAAGGCAAAGGATAATGGAAGGTGAGCCTTCTAGTTCTTTGTAACTCTTCTTGACCAGATTTGTATAGCATTGAAAATTAACCCAATTCGGCATCGATAAAATCATTGTAAATTTGTTTAGAAAAGCGTAAAAAATCAACCAAAGTTTTCTATAAATATACCGAAATAGGAAGAAGCCAAAGCCCTTTAATTGCTTAAATTGTTAAGTCCTGCTTAATAAATCCGCTTTATGAGCCAAATTTCAAGTCTATCTAACGATGATAGTAATGAAGATGATACTAACAATGAAGATGATGTACAGAAAAGCAAAAGAACAAAATGATGATGAAATGACTTGAGAAACTTGCAGATGAATAGTAGTTAGAAGATGAAGATCTTAGCTTCTCAACATAAATAAAATATGTAGTGCAAAGTGTGGTGGAACAACTATAAAAGGAAGCAAACAAGAGTTGACCAATTAGTCATACGTATTAGGATATAAAGAATATTAATAACATCCAATAATGCCTAGGCTTTACAACATTTGATTATAATCAATAGCGGTTGAATTTTTTTTATTCACACAAGAAAACCTTGTTTTCTATTCAATTTAATTTAAGTAAACAATATGATAAGGGCTAACCTCATTTCCAAGAACTAATTTGTTTTCTGGCTTCCAACAGACACTGATAAATAGAATAGACAACATTGATGATTATAACGTATAGCGGAGTCTCTTTTCTTGACCTTAAAATCCGGTTTTGTTTTATTGAATGACTTGATTATTGATGTTCAAATTGCATAAATAATTATTAATAAATCCAATTCATGATAAACATTTAAAAATATAATATTATTCTTCATCCAAACCAAACCGACATGAAAATGAATTTAGGACTTAAATAATAAGAAATGATGTTATCCTAAGAACTTATCAACAGTATTTATAAGTTCCAAAGTATATCATGATTACCATTGACTCAAAAGCAATTAGCAATTATGTAAACCACGGAATCGATTAGCCATAATCTAATTTAAAGTAGACAATGAGATGATACTAAGCAAAAGGAACCACCATTTGCCTGGGAGATTTGCTTCTTATGACCTTCCATTTGTTCCAAGAACCCAAAGGTTCCTGCATCTATTTGGGCTAATAGAAAAATAATTGGGTTCGGTCGGTCCATGTTTGAGCTGAACAAATGATGTGAATCCAGTTACAACCCATCCTATTGACAAGACCTTGAAACTGTATATCCTACTACATGTTATTCAACTTCAACTAGATTCAGAGAAAAAGAAAAAAAAAATAGATTTTTTCCCCTCATTTGCTCAATGCACATGAAAATGACATCATCTGTTTTCATTTCGTTTTTTTAACATTATGCTTTGTTCTTACATTTCCTGGATTATTTTTTTTCCTATAATTATATCTGTGACAGATTCAAAATATGTTCTTGAAGCTAAGTAAATCACGGGGGATTAAATCTTTGAAAATCAACGTCGTAAGAATCAATTACAAGGAAGTTGTATTATTAGGACCCATGTGATCAATCTGAACAAGTCAGAGGTAAATTATAAACAGTGTGCCACATAATTTTATAGGATTTCAATGGTAAATTTGACTGATTCTATGTGATGTTCAACTTAAATACCAAACTTTGGCCGATTCAAAAAAAATTATATAGAAAAACTTTACAAAGTCTTGACCCAAATATCTGGTGAATTGGAGAACCCGAAATCAAGTTAGAAACATATGGTATAACTTGCAATTATTCCATGTTTTGATGAAGATGATGAACTGCTATGGCTTCTTAAGAATCCCACAAAAGAAAAAGAAGAGAAAGATCTCAGGAGGATAAGAAAATAAAGAAATACTATAGTGTTCCTATTAAGATTACAAAAGGACGATGTTATGAGCTCAAGTTAGTAATCTTGAGCATAGAAGTCAATAATCTCCTTGAGATTAAGCTGAAACAAAGAAGCACAATCATTATTCATCAACCAAAGCATGTGTTCAAACAAGATAGCATCAACGTCCACGAAAATCACCCTCCTCTTCTCCCTTCTTGCATCAATTACTTGATTACAATATTCCTTCTTCATCGTGTCAATCAAAATCCGGAATGGACTCTCCTCTAGCACAAAAGGATCAACCAAAAACTCTCTCTTTTCTTTCCCTACCACCACCGTCACTTGTCGGTCCAACTCGCCATATCCATGCTCCCTTAGATGCCGGTAGCCTAGCCGTGATGCCATGCTGCGCCTTCGCAATAAGGAGACAGGCAAGACCAAGGAATACATGAACTAAGAACTAGAATTTGAAAATAAATTGTATGGTATCTATGTTATGTTAATGACTCTGTATTGTGTGTTATGGCTAGGAAAAGGAAGTATTTATATAAATGTGAAAGTGGGTTTTTTTGGGTAAGGAAAATTATGGGAATTGGGAGTGAAACTGTGAAAGTGAAAGGTTTTGATGGGGAGAAAGTCTTTGACAAGTTCCGGTTGAATAGGCCACGCAACGGCTTAGAGATAGAAAGTGAGTATTTATAAGCAAAGGAAAGGAAATTTATGTATGTGTTTTATTGGTTTTCAGGTATTATCATCTCTTTGGTAGTAGGAATTTGAATAAGACATGCCGGCTTGAGCAAATGTCACATTCAATCTGGGAAAAGTGCCAGTCAGCTTTCATTGCCTTTGGACTTTGGGAAATTGCTTAAAAATGAACTTTTTTTTTTTTTATTATTGTTATTATTATTCAAAATCAAGATTTCAGTTGTGTAAGGGAAGAAAAAAATTTACCTTGAAAAAATTAGAATTTATAGAAAAACAATCACAATTACATCAAGTTGAAAGCAAAATATGATTTATAGAAGTTTCCTTTCTTCATAAGATATTTAGGACCTGAATTATTGAAATAGAAAAAAGAAACTGACATGGTTGGTATTCACTTCTGCAGCAATGTATTATTGGTGGTTGGCATTAACTATGGTCCAAAGCTGAGAGTCGCATGAGAATTGAGATTGAAGAGACAATAGGTTCAGCGACAGGGGATTGTATTTAAAATTAGACTTTCTTTTACTATCTTCATTACTTTTCCTTGTTGAATTGACGATTTGAAACAGGCAAACATCTTTCCTTTGTCAATTCTCGTAAATTCTCCAAGATTCCGTATGAATATTGATTATTGCAGATGATTCAAGCAGATTGATCATACAATCTAAAACTTTGAAGATATCAACTACTTTTACAACACTTGGTATCGCTTGACTCGCTATAGAATCATAGAAGGTTGGGATTTTTGGAACCTTTCCACCTATACCTAACTTACATAATTGTACTCATCTTTGTTTTTACACGCATAAAATTTGTTTATGATAGAATTATCCCCTAACCATTCACCTCCAAATCCAAATCAAAGGGTAAGTTCTAAATATTAGAAAGAGACATTAGATTTTTCACGAGCTGTAATTTTACTGGGACTGAGTTTTCAGTTGCAGTTGGACACGGTCCAGTACATATGATTTAAGTGATTTAAGCAGTAAAGTGGGGACTACGCAATTTTCCTATCATCAACTTAGCACGTTAGAGAAAGAGGATGCAACAACCGAGACACGTTAAAACGACTTTCAAATCAACTGGCTGTTCGACAACCTACATCTGTCATTAAAAACCAACCCGCAAGCAATACGTTACACGAAATGGTGGTGGTGGTGTTGACACCTCTCTCACAGGTAGTAATTTATGTTCAGAAAGTCCTGATCAGAATTCAGATATGATGAGTTTTCCATCAGGGATATCACTGAGATATGAATGGAAAATTAAAAGATGCTTGGCCTGCAAGACATACTGCTCTGAATTCGCCTATCGGTTTGCCTGTGCTCCTGATAGTAGAACGAGGAAGGTACAAACCCCCCTCCAAACTATCGAGGACCCCTACGATATTCATATCCTTAAAACGAGTTTTACATCTGAAACCTAACAACAGCAACCGCTAAAGAAACAACACTCGAACAACTAAATTTAAGATTCTAATAAATAGGTGGAATGTTCTCAGCTATCAACAGCGGACATTTTTCAATGAGGTGAAGGAAACTTGAAAACTACTCAAGAAGAAACAACAAAAAACTTGATCTAAAAGAAAAACGATTTTCTACCCTTTCTATTCCTTAATGCATGTTAGCATTTGGAATTTGACAGCTAACTGTTATGCGAGAACAATCACCAAGTTGATGCCCAAGGTGCTCTAATGTTAATTCAGAAGCATCTTCATTGTGGAGTGTGGCCAGTCCAAAGTGGGTACATTTGCATATTGTTATTATGAATAGATGGGGCAGAATTACTGTAGAAACCAGACCCTCGATTAAGGGGGCTGCCCCCATTCTCTTCAGAAGACTCGCTTAAGCCACCTTGCGAAGGAGGGCTACCTGTCGTCCCTGGAGTTCCAAACTTCAGCATATTGGGTGTTAGTATGGAAGAAGGCCCAGTTTTGGAAACATCTGAGTTCTGTTTTTTCCCATCCGCAATAAAGCTGCCAACAATGACCTGGCAGGAGATGGAAAAAAAAGTCATAAAACAAGAATGAAATATACTGACATCTTTGTCATGCCATGACATGTCAGACACTCCCATGATACCCAGACGGTTACCAAGGAAGTACAGCGTCTGAGACGTGCAAAATTGCAAATAAATAAACTCAACTAAGCATCAATCCTAAACTATTCAAGGCTTCTAAGATGTGCATGCAGCAATAATTTCATCATATTGTTATGGTAATTGGTAAACAAACATGGCAATTGCAAACACAAATTAGTAACGGAGAAATACCTGAACTGGTGATGCCGCCTGTAGCATCCCTGCAACTCCACCACCTAATACTCGACCATCAGTCCCAGCCAAGGAGACACTTAAACCACCACTCCTGCTGTGACTACCATTATTTTCAGAAAGCAAGAAGGAACCTGATAGAGAAATAATTTCAAATCGACCCTGCAGCAAAAAGTACTGGCATAATTAAATTGTGCAGAATATAATTCAAACTGCTTAAATTGTATGGACAATTTTGGTATAATAAATATTTCATGTCTTTATAACCATATAAGGATCAGATTTCAGCTTAATACATGTGTTTTGGTGCCCTTAGCCATAAAACTCTGAAAATAAACTCAAGTGATAAAACCCATGGGGCTAAGATCGAAAAAAAAAATCCATGGCTGCATAGCATTATTAACCATCTTCAATTTATATTCCTCTCTATTCATCTCAACAATTTATACCTGTCCACTCATCTATCATTATTAACTTTGCTCTCTCTCTCTCTCTCTCTCTCACACACACACACATAATAGTTCATCAGTGTCAAAGAAGGGATCAGATAACTGCATAATTACTTAAAGCTCCCCTGTTATCAATCAGTTGAGCTTGACAACATATATCTGTGACTTCCTATTACACCCATATGTTTCCTGACGTGAAATTTTAGCTCCAAGCCTAATAATTGTATCTAAGAAAACAAGTTCATCTAGCACAACCACACACCCAAAAACCTAACTAGCAACAAGACCAACAAAATATGCCTTTTTATAGGGTTAGCAACAAAACCACAACTGTGTTAATTTTGGTTCCTTCCAAAAACTGACTTAGTCTGTATTTCATTTTCCACTATCATTCCGTCTTTTCATTGATCAGATTGAACTAAGGATTTATTTCAAATCATTCAATCTGATAGTAGTCTCGCAATTAACAATCAACAAGGTCTTTTCGACACTATTCCTCACTAAGCCAAAAAGACATAAGATATGAGCAGCACTACCTCCTCACATCTATATTCACATAAAATTTCCACACTAATAATTTCTTTTTTTTCTTGGACTAGACTCTACAAATGCATTTTAAAAAAATCAAATGCAAAACATAGAAATTATTCTCCGGAAGAGAGAAAGGCACCAACAGATCTGTGTGTGCATTGTGCACGCATGCACACATACATAGACAGGAAAGAAACATTTTTTTGTTTCCGTCGAAAGGAATGTCCAAAAATTTATACTTCAGCAGCCTTGGAAATATGGAAGCAATCCTATCTAAGCCAAGCTGCTGAGCAGATGCATCTCATTCAAGCCTAAGCTTCCTTTATGAGATGGATCTTATATCGATATTAAAAGTACCTCATATGTCACTGTACCACCAGACATCGCGGGTTGGCGGAGTGTAACATTACAGATGGCACCATTTGCAGAGAGAATACAGACTGTGCGTGGTCCTTGCCGTGAAAAAGCTATAATCTTTGATGCTATGTCCTGAAATGAAAAGGCCACACAATAAGGTACATTAAAATAAGGTTCGAGAATTACAAACAAGGGTAATCAGGGCATGTGCGAAGAGAATAATATTGCACGTTTTTTGGTTGCAATACTATTTAAGGCAGATCCATCTTTGATGGCATAAGAGTACGCCTCAAGTTATAGACAGGAAGAGGCCAACTAATCTATTCACTACACTTAAACAATCAATCGAAAAAACCTATCAATGAATCTTTGTTCTTTGACAACAAAAAAGGGTAAACATCTAATGACTCTACTTTCCACATGCTCTACACAATTTACATAGCCCCAACTCAGCATTTAGAGTTTGCAGACATCCAATTAGAGCTAAATCATAATCACTTCGTAGTGTCCCACTTAGTAATTATCGGATCAATTGCTTTTATTCAATCATGTTTCAAAAAATCATACTTCTAAGCGTTGTGGTGCAAAAGGGTTTGAAGAAATTCCTTCATGCTACTAATATAGAAAATGAATGATTCCACCACCAAAGGAAGCTCAAAACATTTGAAAAGTTAAGCCTATCTTCAGATACGTATTCCCATTTCCATCTGAAACAACAACCATTACAGCTTCATATATTACTTCAAAAAGAAACTCACCTCGCCGGCTTTCACCGTGATTACATGAGGAGTAAATCCCACCCCTCCAACTCCACCTGTTCACAAAAAACAAACAAACAAAGATTATACAACAAAATACTATGATAAAAAAGACCGTAACTTTGACACTTTAACGTTTAGCTACCTAATGCATTAATCTGTCTTTTTCCGGAACCTGCTGGCCTTCCACGGTTCCTTTTAGCAGGCGGTTCTGATGCAGCAGCACCGCCATTACTACACCCCAAACCGACAGAATCACCACCACCGTGACTCGTGGAGTTAGAAGCAATTGGGGTGGTGGGTGCCAATTGTAGAAGAGCAATGTTACCATCAGGAGCATATTTTCTTGGCCTGCCTCGTTTCTTCTTCATGTCCGGCTCGGTGTTGTACCGTAACTGCGACGATCCATCAAAACCAACGGAGTTTAACGAATCCAAAGGCTTGGGTTGGTGCTGAAGTTGATGATGCTGATGTTGTGACGGCGGCGAAGCCAAGGAGTTGAAAGGAAAACGCGGAGTGGGAGAAGGAGGGATGGTAGCCGTTGGATTAGGGCTGATCAAGGCGGCGTTCGAAGGGTACGAAGATGTAGGTCCCATTACCATCTGTTGCGGTTGTTGTACGTGTAATCCTCCCGCCGCTGCTGCCGGACCTTGTGCCTCTCTTGGCTCCATCTTCTTTTTTTTTTCTCTCAAAGAAATTCTTTGATACAAAGAAAATCAGAAAAATTGAAAAGAAGAGGAAGTGTTGTAATGTGAAGCAAGATCCAATTGGAGTGAAACTGTGAGAGAAAAGAAAGAGAGTTTCGGAGAACTAGGGAAGTGGAACTCAAAAGGAGTACAAATGAAATTTAAAAACTAGGTAATTATTAAAAAAAAAAAAAAAAAACCCCATTAGTGCAAAGTAAAAACAAAAAAATTACACTCCGCCAACTCCAATTAGGGTTTTTCCTTTTTTTTTTTAGTTTTAGGGTTTTATTAATAACTTGTTAAGTGCACTTTATTTGCCCATAGATTGAATACGCTCCCAATTTTTAATGAGGTAACGTGGCAGGTTATGAAGGGATTTTTTTTTTACCTGCATTGGGAAGTGAGATCAGAATTATGTACTTTGATATGCTACATCAATCTTGAATTTGATTTGATATTGTAGTAGTACATTACAATTCAAAATTTAGTAGGATCGTGACATGCGGAAGATAAAGTGTTTGTGCCATCTTTGACAGACAAAAACAAGACTACAACAACCGTAGAGTGATTGACGGATGCTTGCTCGCTTGCTGGAATACAGATGTAACTGCCATCATAATGTCATACCCATTTAATGTCTACTGCCAAGTTTTGATAAGTTTTGAAACCTGTCCTGGCGAGGGCAGAAAAATTTTTCAAACTTCGATGAGAAAATGTCCAAAAATCAGCAATTATAAACTTTCAAAAGTCAGGAATCGGGCCTGGCTTGACCTGACGAGAGAGCATAAAACCATCTTGAACAAGGCATCTACATAAAAACTAAAACGAAATTAATGTGTTTTTTATGAGCAAAATTTGTGCCTGTTATCTCCCAGAAACTAGGAATAATGCTTAAAATGGTATGCTGATTGCTGTGCAGCACCTTAAAAAAAACTTTTCCGACTTTTTGAAAGCAAAAGATAATTTGCCATCCAGGTAAAACATAAATGTTGCATCAGAATATTTGGAAGTTCACAGCAATGTCTAACCCCAAGCAGTGAAATCACTACAATCAGATGAATCCAATTCCAAAATCCAAACTTCCAGGTTCCAGCTATCCCAGTTATACTCGTTTAAAACTGATGATGAATGGTTACAAACAATAAAATGAGTGACAATATGCACCAAATAATACAGGATCATGAAATAATGGCACTATGTTTTTGTTCTAAATATGAGCAAGACTTGTACAAGAAAAATAACAACCAAATACTCACTTGAAATAATCATATTAACAAAACTCCATTACTTAGGAAAAAATGCCTAATAATTCAAGAAACCAGAACACAAGCTGCATCCTTTAGTGGGAAATGAAGGCTCATTCACCTTATCCTCAAGGTGAAATAGATGCAGGAATTGCTTCCTACTTCGTTGAAATAGGTAGCAAGTATTCTCATCACCACTAAATTTCTCTGAAACAATCTCACAGTAGCAATCCCATATTTCTAGCACCTGATCTCATATGATCCAGCCTTGGTAATATAGCGAACCCACTCAACTGTGTTATACCCACTCTTCTCCCACACCTGCAAAACAATGATCAAGTCAACATGGCAAGTTCACCTAACAGGGATCACATATACAGAATAAATAAAAATGTTTACCTTAAGAAATCGGACACGTAAACCAGAGGCTGTAAACATTGGAACCTGAGAAGAAAAATGTGAATAAATTAAATTTGTAGTTCGCTTGTCTGAAGGCATTCAGAGAAGAGTTTTCTAAAAGCATGGTAAGGTGTCCATATCCCCTGTTTAAGTCACCCAACATTGACATTTTTTGTCATTTTCATGAAATGCAAATAATCAGGTTTTGTTGTCAAAGACGTGTGAAGAACCAAACAGGATCTTAATTCCTTTTATAATCCATTAATCATCCAACTATTCCAAATTGCATCCCCCAATTCCCAATCTTTTATACATCTAGCATACATGGAATTCAACCTTTAAAAGATAGTGCCAACAACATGGATTGGAAATAGGTAAATAAGTACAACATCTCTATTATAACAAAACTAGGATACTAATTTCAAGTATCACAATATTTTTTCTATAGTTTCCAAGAAAAGATACTGCATTAAAAACAGCCAAAATGAATTCAACATGATTAAGCGGAAAAATAGTAATCAATTTAGGCACCTGAAATTCCATCTGAATTGGTGGCCTAGTCCAAGACTTCTTTTCTGCCATTGTGGAAATTAACTCAACTTCTGCACTCAAGGTTGGCTCTGTTTGTCCAGGGAATTTTCTTATCCTAGAAACTCAAATGAATATAGCATTGAGTGATTACTGAATTCAATCAAGAGATAAATCATAATTAGAGTGAAATTCACTGACTAGTAAAGGATAATAAACTCATCGGGTGATTGGAAAATAGATGGCGCAGAGATAGGGCTGTGGTTGGGGCTGCAGCGCACAAAATGTCTTTGGCTAATCCATTTTTAAGATGGGAAGAAAGCAGGCAGCCAGATTTTCAATATTAAAGTGGAATACAGAAGATATGTACATATTAACAAACTAAGACACTTACTTCCAAACCAAGCAATCAATAGCAGCATTATACTTTGCTCGACCTGATGTGACTTGGAAACTTGTTTTTGCTGTTTGTTTTGGGACAGGAATTTTGATGACAACTCCAAGTGCAAACATTTTTGCTCCAAAGACACTTTTAACCTGAAATATTAATACAAATAAGCAAACAGCAGAACTACGAACTTCAAAATATGCCAATTTCAAAATGTATGATTACAAACCTTAACATTTACTTCCATTCGTGTTCGACCAAGTTCCTTGATTGTTGGCAATACCCGGAAGGGAAGATTAACACCCTCGGTAATGCGGTACCTATGCGTCCATCAAGTCAAAAAGAACATTAAACAAGTATATATAAAAGAATTATGTATGGTGGAAACATAGAAAACTGAGATGACTCATCACCAATAGGAAAGGGAACAAATGGAGCCAGGCACCATTAAGCATTCATTTTCACAATCTATATGCAGATTTCTAGGTTCAAATGGCAGCTGTGGTCAACAGAAGCATTCGGAAAGTAACATAGTGAAAAAAAAAAAATGAACACAGCAGGGTAGTCTAAGAAGCAAGCTATAGATAACATAGAACTAATCACTCACAGATATATAAAGTAACAAAACTTTGCTACAACTGATGTTTCATACTGAATAACATAAACTTAAAGCACAAAGTAAAATAAGGGGGATGACAACTCAGCCTACTTCATCAATTCAAATTCACCATCCGGCGGCACAAAACTAACAGTCTTTTCAGAGTTGAATCTTGTAAGATTCACACACTGATGGAAAGTGACATCATCCAGCTCAATAGTCTTGCCACTGCAAAATGTAGCATTGTAAGAGATAGAAATTATAAAGCTGAACTTGCATGCTCTGCAAGCAACATCAGAAAATTTAGACTTCATGACAATAAGAGGATGACCATAAAAATTCCATCATAAAAACTGCAATATTTACAAGAAAGAAAACAAGAGGATGATGTATGAACAAAGCGAAACAGCATGGCATAAGACTTGAATGCAAATTGAAACCACCTTTTAGTAGGACGGGATTTTAATTGTGATTCCTTCTCAAGCCCAATTTTATCATTCAAGCCCAACTTCAGATCAGGCATCCCAGAGAGGAAGCACTTCATAAGAATCTTTCCGGTAACATCACAACGCAGAACACTGCCTGCAATCACCAAATGGTTAATATTCAGCCAAACAGACATCTGCAAACAAAAATGCTACCAAAACCAATACCAACCTTTTGAAGACATGAGTAAGTTTACACTTTCCACAATGTCCAGAAAGACCTGAAACAAACAAATGTTAAACCAGTGGAACTGCCACATTCATTAGAGAAAGGAATTTGACAGAACTCAGAAGCTAGATCACCTCATTTTTTTTATAAACAAGTCCCTCTCTTCGCCAGCCAACGGCACCAGTAACTTGTAAAGTTGCATTTGGAACAGGCCTATCTGAGGGCTATTGATTTATTGCACATAGAAAATGAAAATGGTTAATGACAATGCAACTTTTAAGTAAAGTTAAAGCACAAATCATGAGTATTGACTACATCTACATGCATCAATCCTCAAAATACAATAACCTGTATTACACAAAATACAACTTACCTTGGATGAAAATGGGGACCGCACTCCTTCCTGAGTAATGTAAAGCTTTAAAATTTCAGGAGAAAGATTTTGTGGGTAGCCAAAGTCCATAATTTCTGCAATATCAATCCGGACATCATGCATTTAATCATTCAAATAACATTTGAAGCTTTTAACCGAAAAATTAAATGATTTTCTTCACCCTTCCTTTCAGCAAAACAAATGCCTCAATATAAATATTTGGCATAGAAGTTAACATGCAACCCAAGAGACACAAACTATATTACTACTTATTTAATAGTTGGCCAATAGATCAAATGAGTCTGAAAGTAATATTCATATCTTTCAGTTGCTACCACTAGTAATGTTGTTAATCTCAGCTTCATATTAGAATCCATAACACCAAGAGTTGAGAATCAAAGGTATTTAGCAAATGCACAATATAGCACTGCAACAGAACATCATGAATTAAGCCCCCCAAAAAAAAGTATCTAAACACACCATAAACCAAGTAAGAGGATGTGTAGGAAGGAGAAACATTTTAACTGTCCGTGAACCACATACCATCCAACAATTCATAAATCAGAACGAAATTATTACGAATGGCATCTTCATCAAAAGCACCACCGAAATAAGATTTGAACAAGGCAACAGCCTGCAAAAGGAGTAACAATGAAAACGTCAACTGCAATAGAGAAATCGAATTGCACATTTTCTAGTGGAATTTACGGTAAATCTTTTCTATATCTAATGCACAAAACTAATCACCTGTCGAAAATTAGAAGAAAGAAAACTTCAGTACCTCAACAACAAACTTGAAAGCACAAGCTACATTAGCATTGCTGCTGACAACAATTACGATGTATACATTGCTGATTCTCATATAAAAGAAAGAGCAACCTCCAATCTGTCGCACCGGACATGTACCGAGTTCTTTCGTTTGCATAATGTGCATTCGAAAGGCATCCACCATGTTTCCCCTAAATGAAATATTATACGAATCAAACACACGCAAAAAAATCTAAGACGCTTAAGAAGTTATCATAAACCTCACCCAAACATCGCCGTTTCATTGAAAACGAAAACTAGTTATCAGGAGAAACCTAGATGCATTCGCACCAAACTCAGCGAAACTAATTCTATCTATAGTAACTCGAATTGAAGGAAAAAGGAAACAGAGTTACCCGACATCGTCGCGGTAGAGACGATTGATGAGGACATCACCGCGGAGATTCAAGAAGTAGATAGCAGAAGCAGCCACCGGCATCTTCGATCCAGCGGATCGCGTAACAGGACAAAGGAAGTGAAATCAATTGGGGAAATGACTGGATCGGTGGTGGATGAAACCTGTGGCGGAACCGGATCTTGAGAAATAGAGGACGTTAGCGTTCGATTTTGGTTTGGTGATCAAAGCATCAGTGAAGAAGAGAATTGAACAGGAAATGGAAAATATTTTTCAAAAGAAAAAGAGCTGTAAAGTTCGCTGCTGGATAGATTTACCGGTCAAGGGAAATTTCGGTCTTTTAGTATTATTTTATTTAAAAAATGGAATTGTTAAAACCTAAATCAACGGTGATTCAGTTCTACAATACATTGTGTACACACGAAAGTAGGATATCTATCCTTCTTTCCTGTTAATGGTTTTATCTCCTCGACACCAACAACGGATTAGATTCTATAACCGTTATCAATGGACCTTGTGGTTCCCTGCATCCCCTGTGCTTCACTCCACCGGCAACTCTCTTCTCCTAAACGCAGCATTTTTCCTTCCATTTCCTTCAAATGCCGACGGAAAACCACGTCAGAGCTCCGGACGCCGGTGAGCGTTACCATCCCAAACGGCAACCTTTCTCCTCCTTCAATTCTCACTCATAAAGTCACTGTCCACGACAGAAAACAAGGTGTCGTTCACGAATTTCTTGTTCCTGAGGTACGACGTTCCACTCTGTTTGTTTCCTGAGAAAATGCCGAAGAGATGTGATTGAACTATTTTCTAGTTAGATTAGAACAAAGGACTCTCAATTAAAGTAATCTTTTTGGACTCGCATTTTAATTTCTTAGGCTATTCATTAGAACAACTTATTAAATGATTGATTAGAGACTGATTTAGGGTTATTTGATGTAAATTGCAGGACCAGTACATATTACATACGGCTGAATCCCAAAACATTGCACTTCCATTCGCTTGCAGGCACGGTATATGCATATAAATTGTTGGTAAAAAGGTCAAAAAAACTCCTGCACTAAAATTTAATAATCATCTAAGCTTTTATTATTATTATTTTCAATCAATTAAACCCTTAAATATCTTTTTTCATTAATGAAACCTTTTATTAAAAGAAAAATGGTTATGTGTAATGTTTAATTGAGTGAAAATAAATGTACAAAAATTTAATTGGATGAAAATAAATATTTAAAATTTTAAATAATATATTGTTGTTTAAATTTTGCAGCGGTATTTTTGTTTTTTAAATGTCATGAAAGGTGTCACAGTTATTGATGATGTGAGTTTTGCTGATCACTTAATGGCAATCTTTGTGTATTAGATGAAATTGTTTTTGATGAATGGTTCCTTTACATGGCAGGTTGCTGTACTAGCTGCGCCGTACGTGTAAAGTCTGGAGAAATCAGACAGCCTGAAGCTCTTGGGATATCTGCTGAATTGAAAGCAAAGGCAAGACTATTGTGTTTCTGATTTATGGAATATAAATTCATTTGTTTGTTTGCTTATTAGTCGGCATTTGTGTTTGAACTCAAACCTTCAATGCCATTTTCTCGTATTTTCATGTCTGGTTCTCAGTTTTACTGTACTGTAGGTTGCTATATGAAGCCAAGCCAATTTATGAATTTTTAACTAATAGGAGAGTATCGAAACACATAGGGAATGCAAACATAAACAGAGGAAGATTAATGACAAGGGTTTGATTGAGTACATTAATCAAATTAAGAGCATACTTGCCTGATTGCGAAGACATGTAAACTTGTTTAAATTGATGTTTTTAAACTTTGTTGAAATTTCTGGAGGTCATAACTGAATTTTATTGTTCAGATGAGGCTTTAATCTTCCTAGTTAGATGTTGAGGAGCTTTCTCCCTCTTTAACAAACTTAGTTTCTTATTCATCTTTCCACCTTAGTGTTTGTGTATAGCAAATTTATTATCGTTTTTTGGGGTCTTAAATGCAGGGATATGCACTTCTATGTGTGGGGTTTCCGTCGTCTGATCTTGAAGTGGAAACACAAGATGAGGATGAGGTAGCGTGCAATATGCTAACCATCTATCAAGGAGAAGCACTAACAGTTGTTTGTATGTTAAGCTAATAAAGTTATTGCTAACAAATCAAGGCTGACCGCTGCATGAAGTGCCTCAAATGTCTGGTGACAGGGACTTCATCCACATTTATCTGATCACCACGAAATAAAGAGTTTGGATAATTTATGTGGGACTTGAGATCTTTAAGCCTTTGTTTGTATGGATCAAATAATAATGTGAATATTCTGCCATGTGCAGGTGTACTGGCTTCAATTTGGAAGATATTTTGCTCGAGGACCAATTGTAAGCCCTGACTTCCGAAAAAAATTGTACATACTAATATGCAACAAGTAGTAGTTAAAGACAAAAGCGTGTTATTGAAGTGGAAAAGGAGCTGAGCTGATGCACAGCTATTGTTTCTTCAGGATTTTAATGCTTAATTCTCATAACTTTTTTAAGTGATCTTAAAATTCTATGTGTTGAACGTTGGCAGGAAAGGGATGACTATGCATTGGAGATAGCCATGGGTGATGAATAAGCTGAAGTTGAGCATAAACCATGTAAAGCTCGCTGCGGATTCCTTATTTTGCCATTTTATAACAATGTTTCCAATTTTACCCCCACTAAAGTACCATGATTATGACTCAGTGAATTGGACGTTGTTGACTTCTTAAGTTACATGTGTGAATTTCTTCAATTTATATTTTCTTTGTGCCAATTTATCATTTTCAGCAGTTTTGTTGCCATACTACATAAGGTCGCAGTTAATTATATCTGTCATAATCCATAATAGATCATTTGCATGTACATAACCTTTCTAATGGTTCTTGGTACAGTAATCTCGACATAGCCAGCATCTTCAAAGTGAGGATAGATTGGGAGTGAGAGATAATGCAAGGTTGTCCAAGTGTATGCTGAAGCTGTTGTTGTTTGAAGAAATTCCAACGATGTGTAAGCCATCTGAGATTCCGCCGGCTATGCCAGTTGGAGGCTCCACCTGATCTTTTCATAATTTGGACCGCCATTTATTAGGAAAATGCTGAACAAAGTACCCTGAATCGTGAATTCCACCCATTGACACTGAGCACATTTTCTAGACAACTATAACCTTCAAGAAATGGAGGAAAACAATCTTCAAGAAATGAAGGCGGAATCCATATTTCAAGTTTTTGATACAACCACCAAAAAGTCTTACTATGGCCCTCCAATTGTGTTTGTTCTAATGAAAATTTGTTGATTATGATCCATTAAAATAAGTTTTTGCCCTTTTTATGTCCTCTGATCTCTTTTTAGGATAAAAAAAGGTCGTTGCTGTTTATGGGCCCTTAAACCTTACCGGTTCACATAATTAGAACAAAAACAGTGACTTGTTGTCTTCTTCGGCCCAAAACAAAAAAAGTCATTGTCTTCAGGCTCAATTTGCCTCAAAGGCCATGATGCCTTTTAGTTGTAATTCACACTGCAATAGTTCACTTTCTGGTAATCCAATTATCAGCTTCAAAGAAGAAAGAAAAAGAACTTGCCTTCAGGAGTGCCAACGTAGCTTTACAAGCTGTTTTCCCTTGTGAAATTTAAAAGCGCTACTCCCACTTTCTCTGTTCTCCATGTATAATTGAGATGACCAAAGGGTTCATGAAGTTGGGCGTGGGCCTATTCCTGGGTCACATGGACCATGTACGACAAAATCTTGGGCCTCTACTGTCCTTGTATTAAGGCCCTACATAAATAAAGACACCACTGGCGTTGGTCTGAAGGCATAATTTCCTGGGACAGGGTCGCTGTCTATAGGCCCAAAATTTAGATCCTTTGCTCCTGCGGACAACATAAGCTTTGGCCATTGATGTGTTGTCGTCTCGACTTCATTAGTCAGAGTCACAAAGAATATGCCTTTGGATATTATAGTTTGATTAATGGCATCTGAAAGTGACATCAGATTAGCACAATAAATTAACTTATTATTAGGGAGTTTTGAAAGAACCTAAAAATTGGCTTGTAAAACAGCAAAATCATTAAATTGTCAAACTCTTTTTCATATTTATAATGTTTACTAGAAGTAACCATTTTTGCAAAAAATTTAGGTTAATGTATGGAGATCAAAGATTTGTTAGGAATAATGATTCAAATTTCATAAAAGATTTGTTTGAGATTTGTTTGAGATTTGTCAGATATTATTTGATAGATAAGAAGACTTGCAAAAAAAAAATTCTAAGAGAAAAAATATTAGAGCTTTACGTCTTATGGGTGTATAAGTTTATTTATGAGTAGACTAAAGGAGACTGAGATGATCTACATAGGTATGATATATGAGAGCATATGGGTATATGTTTGGTTATGTTGAAATGGTGCATAAGGGTTTGGGTTTGTGTTTATTTGGATTGAGAATACTTCATAAAATTAGAAGAGATTGAGAGTGTCTTATGAGTATTGATTATTGAGTGAAGTTGATGATTTGATGTAAGTTTGTAATTCTCTATAACTAGTAGATTTTGTTTCTCATCCGTAAATGTAGATCAGTTGGATCGAATCACGTTAAATTATTGTCTCTTGTGTGTTTGATTTATTGTTTGATTTTACTTTCGTTGATGTGATTTAATTGGAGGCTTTTAGTCCAACAAGATTAACAGACAAGAAGAAAAAGGTGTTTCATGTTTTGGTCCAGCTGATTGTATTATGTTCTCACCAACAGTTTTAATATCAACTATGCAAGTCTAGACTAAATGCAAGGAGCCCTGGAATCTGGTTTCTATCAAGTATCTAGTGCCTGTTGTAGAATATGACCAAAAATCCTACTCAATCTTAATGTGCAACTCATATTCTAAAGATATTTTTTGGGGTAGGAGGGTTGGTCCTGGATCTTCAAACTCTTTTAAATGGTAATCTAGAGACCAGGCTAAGTTAATGTGGTCGAAAGAATCCACGATCGATTTTGAGCAATTGAGATAACTTAGTATTCTGATCTCATCTCGCAATTTTGATACAAATAAACCCCAATGCCGATTATAATGATACGGCTGAATCAAAGATTATTTGTGAACTTATCTGAAGAGGTTATTATTAGATGTCATCACACATCATCTACCATGTTATCAACTAGATTCTTTTGAAACATGCAACTCAATATTTTGCTATGAAATATCTCTTTGGTCCCTTATGTAATTTTCCATGGTCAATATTTGTAGTATATCCTGAACGATTGAAACAGTTGTTTGAATTTAGTGTCAAGAATAATGATTTAAATTTCATAAAAAATCTGTTTGAGATTTATTAAAAAAATTTTTGAGATTGGTCCAATATTATTTGATGGACAAGAAGATTTGTAAAAGAAGAATTTTAAGAGAAAAATGATTCTTAATAGACAAGTTTAACTTACAAGAGAAGAATTTTAAGAAGAAAATTATTTTTAATGGGCAAGTTTGTATGATTATAAATAGGTGAAGTCTCTACAGGGTTAGGTATAAAAAAAAATGTAAGAGAGTTACAAGATTTTGTGGGATAAACACCTTATAGGAGTATTAGGGATTTATGTCTTATGAGTGTATATGTTTGAATGTTTGGGAGTGGACTAGAGGAGATTGAGAGGATCTACATTTTTATGATGTATGGGTACATATAGATATGTGCTTGTTTGTGTTGAAAGGATGCACAAGTGTTTGTGTTTGTTTGGATTGAGAATATTTCATAGTTATAGGACTAGAGGAGATTGAGAGTGTCTTATGAGTATTGATTGTTGAATAAAGTTGATTTGATTTGTATGTTTGTAATTCTCTACAACTAGTGAATCTTTTTTTTCATCTGTGGACGTAAATCAGTTGGATCAAACTCGTTAAATTATTATTACTTATACGTTTGATTGATCATTTGATTTCGCTTCCACTAGTGTAAAAGGCTTTTTGGCCTAACACTTAGACCATTGATAATTTTATATGGCAGAAAAAAAAGTATCAGAGATAAACTTAATGCCACTCGTACTCATGGCTAAGTAAAAGAAAACGAAGTTATCTTACAGGAGAACCGATTGTTCAACCTATTAAAGTCTTCTCTGATGGAAATACTTTTCATACATAGACTGCTTATTTAAATAGGTCACGCAAAGGAAAAATAACTCTATACAACAGTTTTGCTGAGGAATGCACCCGTGGAGGAGGATATTTTGTAATGTGCAAAACCCAGGCTGTAGTTTCTAATAATCAACTTGGGATGTAAAATAATTTTAGCTGTTGAACTTCTGCTCGGCAGCACTTGCTGAGCCCTGCATCATTCAATGACACAACATTGATGTCATAGCAAACAAATGAAAACAAAAACTTGCAAGCAAATCTTATTGCACTTGTTTCACAGAGATAGAACCCTTCTTTTGTTTGCAGTTATGAAAAAAATTGAACTGTATAATCCAATTGTATGATTAGATATTATGGTTACTTTTCTGAACTTGTACTTCAAGGCTGCTAAGAAGACAGTGGATCATAAGGTTATTAAACAGTTAGTGAGTGAGAACAAGTTGTGTACTGACCCCAACTGATGTCACAAAATTGCAAACTGCACATTTTACAGATTGTGCGCCATATTGGTACATGAGTAACATTCTGCAGTTCCCACAATTTACATGTGCCACCTGATTTGCTGTCAGAAATGAAGCAAAATTTGAAGCTTACACCAAAGAAATAGTAATGCTTTCAATCTTAAGAATGCTTGAGAGAAACATTAATATTGAAGTTATGAAAAGGTTTAAGCATACCTTCCAAGGCCAGATTGACGGTGTTACAACACGAACATTGAACACTTGTGGCTCCACGAATGTACATTAACAAGGTATGGCAGCCTCCACAAACCAACTGGGCCATTTCTGTGCCTGTACTTTCAGAGTTTTGACATACATTTTACTCATAGGCCTTCCACTTTTTTTCATTTAACGAGATAGAAATAACTTAAGACAGAAGGAAGATTCAATCGATGTGATTGTTTCAGGGTTACATAAGCTTAAAAAGTCAATGAAGTAAATGGCAGATGATGTACCAGGAGGTGGCACAGCTGTTACTGCATTGCAAACAGCACAGCACACAGAAGTTGCTCCAACCGGATAGAGTAATAGATTTCGACATCCACAACACACAAGCTGGCTTTGAGAACCTGAAGACATAGATATGGCCACTAGATAAGTTGAAAATGAAGAGTAAAAAGAAGATAGAAACATATTAACCTTTGTTGAAGCAGAACAATAGATTCATAATATTTCCTATAATTGACCAATTGGTTGATGAGGCCAAGCCTGTTAGAACCCAAACTAAAGTTGGAATGTTTTATCTTAATGCACTAGTCATGTCCTTGCAGCATGCATATCAGAAAAAGAAAAGGGAAAGGGTTGAAAGAAAAATGAAGCAGACACCCTGAACCATTCACTGATAACTGCAGACATTCCTCCCTACTTGTTTATCAGAAACTCTATTTGTTTTAGATTTGCTATTCTTAATTTTATCTCAGAAAGTAATATACTGCTTGGATCCTTTTTTCTCTTTTCTCGATATGTAGTTACAATGAGACTTAACTCATTTCTGAAGGATAGAAAGGGCAATGAAAGAAAATATATAATCTAAGTGCCACTGTCCCAGCAAAGTTTCTTAAAAAAGTCCACACCTTTGTCTCAGCAACTAAACAATAATAGAATTCACATTGTTTCAAGATAAATCTGTCGCAGAACAGAAGACAATAAGATACCATTGGTTGCAGGAGTATATGGCGCTGGAGGTGTCGGATATGGAGCAAGAGGAGCTGGCATTGTAAAATCAGACGGAGGTCAACTCTCCTTTCCTGGCTTCTAACAGTTCACTGCCTTAAAAACAGAGGGCACCAATCTTTTCTCCCATTCTTACCATGTGACAAAAAGTAAAACAAGAACACTTAGAAACAGCATAAATATTGCAACAACGATAAACTCACAAAGTGCCCAAAAGTGAAAACAGAATGGACTATGATTAAAAATTATGCCAGTTAACTGTGAGAAAGAAGGGAAATGATGGGGAAAAGAGTTTATGAGAGTTGCGTAACTAACAAAAATACTTAATTCCCAATTTGGAAACTCTCTTATAGAACCATGCAAGATGGTGTAAATGGATATATATGCAAAAAAAAGAAAGTTTGAGGACACTTGATAAAAAAAGAAACTCAGTTTAAGCATTATGAAGTGGGAAAAAAACACATACCTGTTCAATTTGCAGATGAAGTAGAGAGAGAGAAGTTTAAGTTTAGAATGGAGAAAGATGAAGAGAAAGTAGTTATTAAAATGGTTTTCTTTTTTACCATGTTCTTTATCAGCTCATCTTGGGGAGTAAAAGTCAATTGAAAGCTTTCATTTTGTCATTATAAAAAAAGAGAGAAAAGAAAAGCTTTTCACTTTCTCCTTCTGCTGAGATTAAGAAGTTGGTGTCAAAGGAGATTTTTATTGGTTTCCTCCTCAATTCTTATTGGTGAAAATGCAATTTGAAATTTCACTTTATGCTTTTGATCTTTACTCATTTTAATCCCATAATAGATTGATTTGTTTGGTCATCAGTGAGTTTAACTTCCATTTCTTTTGGTGGTATATCAAGATCAACTTTGGGGCAGAAAGTTTGGGCCCCACATCTTCTCTCCAGTCTCCCCCCCCCCCCCATGGAGCTTTGCTTTTTAGTGTAAAAAATCGCATGCACGTGATTGTAGCATTAAGCCACACGCTCCTCTCCCATGGAGGAAATGGAGGGCTAAGCGGTGAGCCACATCACGTAGTAAAAGCAAATTAGGAACAATCTGTCAAAATTATCATTCTGGCAGTGGCTCTATTATATGTATGGCAAAACCATAACTTTTTTCTGGTGGTCCTGTTTCCCTTGCATTATTATGGTCGAGTTTTGGGGATTGAATGTGACAGAATCGTTGTGATGTTGGTTTGTGCATCTACCATATCTTTCTTTTTCAGCATCTCTCAAGACATTGGCTGGTTTGGACTAATTCATCTATTTCTGGGCCTATGAAAGCCTAAATCCTGTCTCAGAATCATTAATTCCTCGTGTTAGATCTCTGTGATCCCTTTCTGTTAGCTTAGGACTTCGATGTAGCTAGATATCCTAAGTTATATCACCATCAAAACACATCAATGAAGAAAGAAAGAAAGAAGAAAAGAGAAAAGAAAATGGCAAAGGCATGAAAATATCAGCTATGCCTATCAGAAACAGAACCACCTCAAGTATTCGCAGCTGTAAGTTAATTTTCTCCATTTTATAGAACCCCAAGTTTTTTGTGCATCTTCAGGACAACATGCTACTAATAGAATTTAATGTTTAAAATCTGGGGTAGAATTCTTTTTGTTCTTATTTTCTCAGCAGCATGAGATTAGCTGATTTGTTTGAATGAACTGCTGAAAAAGATTAGCTGATTTTGATACTGTTTCAATTATTATTATATGCAGCTAAAGAATCAAATCAGTCGATATTGATGCATGAACAAAGAAGAATCATTGTATTGAGAAAGAACAACTGGAAAAGTGGAAATTATAGAGTAGTATTGCACTGGTATTTTTTTGGTACATGATTTCTTGTTCAAAGAGCAACCCTTTTCTCAAATCATTATTAAAAAAAAAATGGAAAAGCCTCAAGCAAGAACAATGAATAGGTTGGACCATAATTCAAACATTGACGACAGACAGTTTCATTAGTTTACAGTACATAAATACTTCTGTGGGGGCATCCGGAGGAGCACCCAACTAGCATTGTGTGTAGGGCCCAGCTATCCTTTCGGACGATGGACAGCTTAACTGCCTTAAGGTTTCTGATCTCTCCATGAAAAAACCCATGTGCTGTCAGCTGGTCACCAACTAAAAAAATCATCCTGAGCTTGTGGATTTTACTTGCCATAACTTTTTGCTATTAAAGGAAACAAGTTAGCTGGATGAATTTTTGGAACAGTACCCAAGATGGTAAATTGTGTAAGTTGATTAATCGGTTTTTTTCCTGTACATACTGCAGTCATTATCTGAATCGAAATCAACATTTGTGCAGCCTAATATATCTGCCAACGCATCAGCACGTCAGCCTCATCAGAACATGCTATGAAATTTCAACCCATTGCTTCCAGTTCCAGGCAATTTCATTAAATGGTTTTGATTGAATCATTGACCTGCTTATCTTGTTGCCCTATAAAGATAAAGCTGTCATAATATACCATTTCAGAGATTTTTTTTAAACCACAACAGCCAAAAGAATGACCAATAGAAACTTCTTTGAGCGTCATGAAGGCGTCATTTACACGACAAACAATTGCAATGAAGTTGTACAATCTTATCTTAGAAAATCATCCAGACAATTTTCATTTGCTAATAACTACAGGACAGAAAAGGTCTGAATCAAGGAGCAAAACAACAACATCCACTTGATCAGTTCTTTCACTCTGTAATCAATTAATCAGACCCATTTCTTTGTTTAAGCAAATAGAAATACAAGAAAGGATTTGCAATCTAATCTAATCTTGTTCAAGGTTAAGGATAATCCCAATTTATGGCACTCAATCTGGGATGAAATCAGGCCACAGACCTAATAAGATAAGGTCTGCAGCCTGTGGGAAAAAGTGTACTCAATTTGATGAATGCTTTGTTGTTAAATCCCTTTCCTTAATTTATCTTACTTAAAATAACCATGTAAAATGACTAACAGAGCCAACAGAATTTTTTTTTTTTTCAGAAGAGCTGAAAATGTCTTTTCGGACAAGAAGCAAAAATAAAACCCCACTGTCCAAACTTATAGCCCCATAACATCAGATGCTGACATTTCAGTCCATGCCTAGTCTGCATATCTAACCCCGTTCCAAGAAGTTAGCTATTGGATTTTCAACCACATTTCTGAGGATTTTGGCATGCAAGGAAAGAAATTTTGGTTTTTGGAAGAGAGGAGGGGAGAGGGGACATTTTATGGATGATATCAAACAGTTGTCAAAGAATCAGAAGAAAGTCCAATTTCAGACACCGACATATCTAAGTCTGGACTACCATAAAGAGAGGCTATTATTAATAATACATCTTCGAAATGCATTTTATCTATTTCTGGTGGCAAAATATGGAACCAAATATATTAAAGAAAAACAGCCATCATTAAACTTTCTCAGATGTTGTCTCTGACGTTCACCATTGATGGGTTGTATTGTAACAGCACAATATATGAATGTAAGCACGCATTTAACAATACCATCTTTAAATACTGTCAATCAAAGCTACAAATAAGGCAAGAAGTGATAAAACATTTCTAAAAGGTTAAATTTCCCATATGAATTGCCACACTTTTCCATTGTGATCTGTAAAAGTTGATGTATTCTAAGAACTATTCCATAAAAAAGTCGTTCTAGCACAAGGTACAATGGTATCATCAAGAACAAATTTTCTAGATTAATTATACATTCTACAATCAATATATGGCCTGAGAAGTTGCTCAATGGCTAGTCTAATACAAACAATACTATTGTTGACAAACAGGACTTCCACCTGGTTCAACTCTGATTTTATGTACATATGGATTTCCATTTCTTCAGTAAAAAAAATAGATATCAAGTGAGAAGTATGGTTTACTGTTCACGATTTTCTGAATCAGGACTTCCATACACAATAGAGAAATAGAAACCCACAGTTCTAAGTGTGAGGCCTGGAAACCTGTGAGAACTACTAGGCTGCAAATCTATCCTGATAAAAGGCCATTTCATGGCTTGCGCTGCCTCACACTGTTCACATCCATCTCCAATTGCACAAAACGGACATTTTGATTGTTAAAACGTTCCTTGATCCATTGGAAACATTGTAGTTTCCCTACATCCCAAAAGCTATAAACGGGAGAAATAACAAATTTGTTGGTATATCGTCAGTCGATTCTTTTATTTTCTTGATAAATGATGAGTTTACTAAAGAAAATCAGATTCAGGAGAAACATGGGATCAATCAATCTGTATGCAATCTATTGACCTCCATAAATATGACAACTACCTTAACTGCTGGAACTATAAGGAAGGGAAAAAGTCCTTTCAGAGACGATGCAAAGCAGGTATTCTAAAAGAACTTGTCACACTGAAGGAAATCGTCTATGTGAAATCAATTTTAGGCCAGCTGAAAGCTTTCTTCAACTGAAGAGAACAGTAAGCAAGACCTGGCCAAAAAGCTTGACTTATCTCATTTACTGCTATTGTGGTAGAGTCCAACATTCCAATTCCACATGATCATTAGATGAAATATTAACTCCTTGAGCCATTGCTAACAAGAGATATCTTTACTTTAACATCAATTTAGGATAAGAATTTTTTTTTTTTTTTTTAAAAAGAAGTGCATTTAACCGTCAACAATGCTACCCTTATGATTGTCCCGTCAATGACTTCAACATCCATAAACTGCATCATAACATGCGGGACCCCTATGATTATCCTGTTGATAACTTCAGCACTAGTGAACCGCCTTATAACATTAGGATGCTAGCTAACTTGTAAGTCCCTTGGTGTTTGTCCCAAGGACCTGAAATCAAGTCCTGAACTCCCCATGGACAGAAGCAAGAAGAGGGAGGACGCCCCTTCTCGAGTACTCCAGCCATTGGACCAAGAAAACAGCTTACATTATGATATTTATTATAAAGATACCAACTGATATGAGATAGAATATAAGAGAAAACATGCATAGGCAGGCAGAATGCGATAATTATGCCAATTAAAGTAGAGGCTTATCCTAACAGTTTCAACATGAGATATGAAAAAATTGTAATTTACTTCAAGTAAATAGAAGGGAGAAAAATCAGTAGATTACACACCATTTTCATACTATATCAAACTGTCAAGTCAAAGAGTAAACATTTAACAGGGCTAGGAATCAAAGACCCAGAAGTCACCAAAATATTTATGTGCTGGAGTCCCGTATCATTAGAGTTGACAATCACGGCAGCGGCAGTATGACCAAAGGTAGGATCTTCATTCCCAGCTAAACACTGCTCCAAAACTACCCGTGCTATATTTTGAAAAAAAAAATACTAAGCAAATCAAGTGATGTTAAGGGAAAACATGAGAACTTCAGCTCAAGATGCACAAATTAGGATGGGTTGGCATTGGGCTCTGGCCTGCTATGAACTTACTACGATGTTAAAAAGGGTTCGGCCAGTGGGCTTTGAAATTAATTGTATACTATTACGAAAAGCATATTGGCCAAAGTGGTCTTATAATTTCACCTAATTACCAAGAAGTTTCTTTAATTTTTATAATTAATTAATTATAAAAATACTAACGAAAAATCATTGCACTTATAAAAAAATAAAAAAAATTTATTTATAGAATATTTAAACAAGGAAGCTGATGTATAAGATAACCTAACTCAATTTATAACATATATATATTAATAAAACAAAAAAAAGTAAACCATACACCCAAACATTTTATTCAATAATAAGTGTATGTATTTGGTGTTTAAATAACGAGTTTTAATTTTTATTTTAAAAATAAAAAATATGGTGTTGAAAAAATTATAGAGAAAGTCGGCGTGTTATTTGAAAAATAAAATGTTGTTGAGTTTGTTGATCAAATTCAAAGTGGTAAAATGGAGATTTGGTCCAATTTGACAGCGTGAAGTGATGGCCGGCTAAATTATAAATTGTGTTGAAATTGATATTGATTGGTATTTTTGGATTTTATTCTATTATTTCAGTCAAATAAGTTAACTCACACTTAAGTAACTTGTAAATGATCCCACCGTCGAAGGTTAAGATGATAACGATTTTGATAGAATTTAATTTAATTTAATTTTTTTAAATAATATATAATAATATAAATTTTTAAATTTTAATTTAAATTTAAATTTAAATTTTTTTTAAATCGATCGAATCTAAATCGAATTTAATCAATTTAATTTAATTAATTGATTTTTAAAATTTAATTTTTTATATATTATTTTAATAAAATTTTTAATATGTTTAAATATATTTTTATATAAAATAATTATTTTTATTTTATAAAAATTTTAAAAATATATAAAAAAAACTAATAAAAATATATAATTTAGTTTGATTTATTTTTTTTATTTTTCATATCCCAGTTCAAAATTTAATCCGACTTAATATATACATTTAATATCCAAACTTAATTCAAATCGAATAAAAAAAATTCAAATCGAACTGAATATTATGATTTTGAATTAATTTTAAATTTTTTAATTTTTTTCATCTCTATTGAAGGTATTTTTATCTTTTAACCACTTTATATTAAAGATAATAACAATTTAGATTGGATTGAATTTGATTCGATTTTTAGATAATATATAATATTATAAATTTTTAAAATCTGATTTAAATTCGAATTATTTTTTTCTTGAAACTAATTCGATTCGAATCATTTTTATCGATTTGGTTCAATTTAGTTTATCAATTTTTTAAATTTATATATTATTTTAATAAGATTTTATAAATTATATATAAAATAATTATTTTTATTTTATAAAAATTTAAAATACATATAAAAATTAATAAAAAATATCTAATTCGATTCAATTTTATTTTAATTCAATTCAATTTTATTTTTTTTCAATCTTTTATATCTTGATTTAAAATCTAATGCGAACTAAATATATATATTTAATACATAAATTTAATTAAAATTAAATAAAAAAATTTAATTCAAACTAAATATTATAACTTCAAATTAATTTTTATTTTTATTTTTTCTCCATACTTCATACCTTTATGCTTAACTTTGTGTTCTTTTTAACAGGCGATCAACCGTCGTCCAGTTTCGGCTCAAACAAACACAAGGGAAGCTGCCAAAATTCAAGGTTTCCTTTGCATGCAAATCAGCCGAAGTGACCTGTTCAGACCTCCAATGCTATAAGAAGTCCGTTTGGACCCTACCCTATGATTCTGACTTTGGGTTTTGACAGCAATTTGAACAAGAAAGAAATGGGTTTATCCTGGAAAAGTCTACAACTCCAAAAACCAGCTAAGTGCTGACACCATACATTGATTAAAGCCCACTGATTTAGATGTTGACGTTCAGGAAACATCCTTTGAGAGAACTGTTCTCATTTGTCAACTTTGGATAACATTATTAACATATTCCTCAAGATGTTGTTGCCACATATTATTGTTTATATTCATGTAAATTTACTAATTCTTGTATTATATTTTGTATGACAGTTACCTTTAAGAGCACAAAACCTGCCTTTCCTGCTGTTCGGGGAAATTTTAATCAGATTGTAAGTGTATGTGAAAATGAAAGTTGTCTACTAAATCATCTGTTAATCAACACCTATTTGTAATTAACATTTTTTAAAGTTTTAATCAAGTTGTCTTTGATTACATGATTAGATTTGTCAGAATATAGTTGGGAGTCAAAACAAGGAACAAGTTTTTAAAAAAGTTGTCAAATCCCCAAATATAATTCAGTTAATTTATTCAATTATTCAGTAAATCTATATTCGAATCCCACTACATTTACAATCCATTCTTATATCTACTGAGTTCAGTGTTCAGCCTCCTTATAACAAAAAAAGAAAGAAATGGAATATATAAAAAAGCTAGAATTTGGTTGCTGGAGAATAGATGCCACTACAATAGTAATGTTTCTCATTTCACTGGAATTTGAACCAAGCAACCGTCTGCAGAAAAAGCTCTGCAATCCCACAAATAATTTACAAGTAATATCATTGATGTAGAACAAATCTTGAAAAGAAACCAAAACATTTTGAGCTATGTGCAAGAAGCTGAAGATTAAAGTTTAAAGTAGTCATTCACTGGTTACATTGTCCCAGTATTTGCAGTCTGGAATGGCCAAAAAATTGGGCAAATCCTGAAGCAAAAACCCTTCTTCTTCTTTTCTGGTGGAGTCTTGGTATTCCTCTTAGCAACAAGATTGGCCATGAACTGAACAACAGCCTAATGAACAAAGAGGTTGAATAAGTTAGTATCTAATAACTACTTAACCAGGCAAGATCCTAACAAGCTAATTTTGTAATCAGAATAGCAAATAGCAATACCTGAGCACCCAGTTTGATTACTTGACTGGGTGGAACTTCCAATGGAGTCTCATCAGCATGGAAAACTCTCAATTTTGATAATAATCCGAAAGAATCTGGTAGAATTCTAATCTGGTTGTCACTTATATCCAACTCTTCAAGCATCTCAAGGTTTCCAATTGATCTTGGCAAGGCTCTTAGATCTGCAAAGTTCTTCCCCACATTCAATTTTCTAAGACTTGCTGCAAAACAGAGGTTCTCAGGAATGGATTCAATCTCATTGAAGCTTACATCAAGCTCCTTTAAATTGGAAAGGTTGCCCATTGTTGTTGGCAACCCTTTGAGCCTGTTATAGTGTGCAGTAAGAATCTCCAAGCATTCAAGCTTCCCAATTGCCTCAGGAAGAGCCTTTATCTGATTGAAATCTAATCTTATCTCCAACAATGAGCAGCAATTTCCAATTGTGTATGGAAGTCCTTCAAGTTCATTTGTTTCCACATATAGTCTCTTCAAAGAGGTCAAATTTCCGATATTATCTGGCAAATGGGTGAACTCGTTTGAACTCAAATCTAGATTCATAAGGTTTGTCAAGTTCCCAAAAGAAGCAGGCAATGACCTTAACCTGTTTGCATGGAGATCAAGCTCTATTAAATTGACAAGTTCCTCAACTGAATCAGGAAGGTTAATAAGTTGGTTCGAGTGAAGATCAAGCTTCGTCAAGGCTTGAAGCCCACCAAGGGAGGGTGGCAGGGCCATGATTCGGTTTTCCGATAAGTCCAGTTCACTCACATCCTTTAATTTACCAATTGACACAGGGAGCCACTCAATCTGGTCCATCAACTTGCCCCTAAGATCAAGAACTATTGCTCCTGTTCTAGCAGTATTTTCAATAAGGGCTGCTGTCTTCATTAGGTTTAGTTTGTCACTGCTATCTTCACCTGCAAATACACCAAAAGCCTTTATTTAGGACAACATTGTGATGGCCTATCAATTATATCTACCTATCTAGGATAGTATATATCCAGTATGATTAAGGAAGCAAAGAAATCTGGGGTTAATTGATGAAAATTGCCAGATACTTTCCTTTTAAAAACTAAATCCCAGCTTTTCAACCAAAACAAAATATACACACTCAAGAAGCCTCAACTTGCTCTGCAGGCTTGAAATCAATATCAGACTCAATGGAAAACAGTGATCTAAAACCAGAAAATAGAATACTCAGACAGTACCAGGAATATATTGCCAGTTGAAATGGAATAACATGAAAATTATCTCTCATTAGAATTCTAGTTTCTTCTATTTATCCAGATTTCAGTTTCAGCCTGTTAATAGAAACATAGGAAGAAAAACAATTATCATTTCTCAAATTACAGATGCAAAAAAAAAAAAAAAAAAGAGCAACAGCATCTTTGACCTTTCTGATCTAAAATTGAAATCACTTTGACAACTCCTTTCATTTTTATCATATTAATACATGCAAAGTAGAATGAACTTCAACAAAATCTAAAGTGGGTTAAACTATTTTCTCAAAATTGTATATAAAATTCTGTGATATTAGGCAAAATTCCACAAGAAACCAAAATTCCCAACAAATATAAGAAATTTTAGGCTTTACCTGAAAAGAAAGAAACTTTTGTAGAAGAGCTTCTAACCAAACCCTTTGCATCATCTTTATCCAATTCACCATCTTCCTTGCTCTTCACCAAACTGTCATCTCTGGTCACACTTTCTCGGTCAATTTTTCTTACTTGTTCCCCAAAAGTACTCACTTTCTCATCCTGGGTATCCCCGGAAACTAGTAAAGAAGCCCTTTGAATCAACCCATCAAAGGTCTCAAACATCTTGTCGGCTTCAACCAAGAAAAGGGCCTCCTTTTTTTGATCATGGCTTTGAAACAACACCATGGTCTGCCTCACCTGTTGCAAAACAGAGAACAGTTCCTCAGGAACATCTTCAGGTACTTGTTCCTTTGAGATGTCCTCAAGCTTGATTTTTTCTTCATTTTCTACAGTTTTAAGAACAGACTTGGCAGCTTCAACATCTTCAATGGAAGGCCTTGGTGGAAGTGATCTGTAAAGTTTCATGATTTCTTGTACTGTTTCTACAAAGGCAGGTGATGGGTCTTGCTTTGACGTCACAGCCATGGCTATGGTGGTTTTTTTCTTCTTTCCGGTTTTGGACAAAGAGAGAGATAATTTAGAAAAGGTTTTGAAGTATCTATATTCTATGGGCAGAGGTCCTTAGTTCATAATCAACTGTAATCAGATTAGACTATGTTACTTATAATGGACAAAAAGACTTTACATTTCTCTCTTTTTTTTTAATAAATTGTATCGTAATAATCCCAAGCTTTTCTCTTCTTTTCTGCATTTTTCTTTTTTAATTATAAAAGTTTCCCTCGTAATCCATGGTTACAAAAACATCCATAAGTTCCTATTAATCTCTCATCTTTGATTTCATTAAAAATTAGTATTTGAATAATATTTTATTCTCTGTTTAAAATTTTTCAATATCTACTTTGTTAAGATGATTAAACAAGAATATACTCAAGCTGAAATCCAACAAATCCCCATTATTTTATGGAAAGAAACGCTGATGTCTCCCTAAATGGAAATCAATAATTATATGAATAATAATTATCAGATTATGTTAATAAAATTTATTAATTAAAGACAATCTAAAAAAACCCCAAGCTTAACCTACTTAATTTATATAATTATTATTAAAAAATAACGTATAAATTTAACTCAATTGTGATTCTTTTTTCGTATTCATTAATAAAACTTGATTCACATATGCAAATTTCACATAGAAAAAGTACTTCCATTTCACATAAATGTCATCAACGATGAAATTTATGTTGGATGAAGACGTGGGAACTCTTAGATGACATGTTTTAAAATTATATTCTAACCAATGGCTTTCAAAAGCCGGCATTGTTATTCTTATTATTGCAAAATTTGAAACCAATAATTTCCTCCTTTGAATAACTTACTATGTAATTTATGTCTCAAATTAGTTGTCCACGGAGTTAATGCATTGGGTTTGCCTTCTTATGGTCAATGCTTTACTTATTTATTTATTAGTATACTTTATTTATACATTTAACTTATACTAACTATTTTTTTAATTTTATTAAATTTTTTTTTAATAATATTAAATTTTGAATATCAAATTAACGACGATGTAATTCACATCCACAAAAGCCAACATAAATATCCAAATGCTACAACGGTGAGGCACGATTCAACAAATCTTATCGCGTCACACTCATATTTTTCCATTGGACATTTTTGGTCCAGTGGATTTTTTTCTTGTGCAACTGCAGCTTTGGTTTTCAATTTTGTCCCTGCTCTTTTTTACTTTAGTGAATATATTGCATAGTGTTTCTCTTTTTTTATTTTGTTTTTCCTCTAAAAATTTTAAATTTTTTATTAATTTAATATGATAAATAAATTTTATTATAATAAATTAATAAATAAACATTTTTTATAATTAAATAATTAATCAAAATAAACAATTACATAAATAATAAGGTAAATAAACATTAATAGATTTTAATTTAATAAGAGTAAATAATTTCAATTTAATAATCACTAAAAACATTAAATATAAAATTATTATATCTAAATTTTAAATAAATTTATTATCTTTAAATTTTAATCTAATATTTTTAATTATAATTTTTTCTTCTCATTATATTTTATCTTACCGTTATCATTACATTAAAATTAAAATTAATATTTTATTATTATTTTAATAATATCATTATAATATTTAATCAAATATTTATTATTTTTAATTTCATTAAAATTAATTTTATCATTTATTTAAATAAATTTTTACTCAATATTACCTTTTAAGACTTGCATGTACGTAGGGAAATAAATTGAAATCTTAATTTCAAAAGAAAGGATTTTCATTAGTAAGGTAGTAAATATATAAGCTTTTTTGGTTTGGGTTTGTTGCCCCTCCCATTTCCGATGGAATATGAAGCTCAAAAACCCAAAGAAAACAAGAGCTCAAGGTCAAAAATGTAAATTCATGCATTGGAATATTTAATTCAATCTTTTATTCCTAAATTAAAAAAAAAAAATTGCAGATCTCAAGGCTGTTCCTAGACCAAACCAAGAAGGCGAAAGGGGCCAAAAATTGACCCAAACCTTTTTTTCATTTTGCCAAGCCTTGCTTTGCGCGATTTCCATTGCCACACAACATCCCAAAAAAATCACAATGTTGTTACTGATAATACCTCAGGCATTTCCCCGCTGTTGAGCCGAAAAGATTAATGCTAAGCTAACCTCTCTATCTCCCTTCATCACTGAAACAAAACAAACCCATCTTCACCAAATCCCTGTAAGTCTTTCTTCTCTGTCTCTTTTAAACATACCCTTTTGATTCTTGCATGTCATATTTTCTTGCGGGTATTGGATTTTGTTTCTTTTCTTTTTGTTTAAATGTTGATTTCTTTTTATTATATAGGCAAAGCAAAAACACAAACAGATGGGCTGCACTGTGAGAGAACAGCATATCCGGTCGACCCGAAGGACCCGATCGGTGAAACCCGAATTCGATCCTTGCTGTCTTCTTGATAAAGCTTCCAAATCCATACTCGAATCGGGTATCAAGCCCTTGAGTTACCATCTGGGTTTAAACGATTCAACCCAAAGCCCGAATCCTAACCCTAATAACAATATCAATGCTAATTTTGATAATCATGGCTGGGGGTATTGCACTGAGGAACAATTAAAAGATATGTTATTGAAAAACCTGGAAGATTTATATAATAAAGCTGTGTCTAAGCTTGTAACGTTAGGTTACGACGAGGATGTTGCATTAAAGGCGATATTGAGAAATGGGCATTGCTATGGTGAAACGGATGTGTTCACTAATATTTTGCATAATTCATTGGCTTATTTGAATAGTAGTTGTGGTGGTAGTAATGGGAGTAATTCGGAGGAACCCGAGACTGGTTTTCCAGATTTGAGGCAATTGGAGGAGTATTCGCTTGCGGGTATGATTTGTTTGTTGCAACAAGTTAGGCCACATTTGAGTCAAGGTGATGCTATGTGGTGTTTGCTTATGAATGACCTTCATGTAGGTAGGGCTAGTACTATGGAGATTCCCTCACTTCCTTCGCCCACTAGTGGGTGTAGTCCGGTGTCAAACAATCTAGAGAGTGTTGGTAATAATGGGGTTGGTGTTGTGTCACCGGCGCTGTGTAGGTTTCATGGTGGTTGGGGGTTTGGGAACGGAGGAGCAGAGTTTGCAATGAATGGTTTCTTTTCCTATAGCGCAGAAATGACTTTGCAGAGGGAAATTGAGTGTCCCGAGAGGTTTAATCTTTCACCTTCAATGAAGTCTTTGTTGAAAAGGAATGTTGCAATGTTTGCTGCTAGTTTTAGGGCTAACTCAAAACAGATGCAGACACAAAATCATGCATATGTGGGCAATGTGTCTAGCGGAGATGCCCCTTTGACTTTTGCTGGGGCTGAGGTTCCTGCTGAGAAATCTGAGGAGTCTCAAAATTTGAAGAGCCAGGATGAGGTTAATTCGGTATTGAGTAAATTTCATGATTTGAATATTGATGAGAATTTGGAGCATGTTGGTGAAGATCAGAAAGGTGAGATGACAATTTCTCTGATTCACCAGATCAAGGATCTTGAGAAGCAAGTGAAAGAAAGGAAGGAGTGGGCTCACCAGAAGGCAATGCAAGCTGCAAGAAAGCTTAGTAGTGATCTAACAGAGCTTAAAATGCTGAGGATGGAGAGGGAGGAGATGCAGCGGATGAAGGGGAAACAGACAATAGAGGACTCAACCATGAAGAGGCTGTCAGAGATGGAGAATGCTCTGAGGAAGGCTAGTTGGCAGGTGGATCGGGCAAATGCAGCTGTGAGACGCCTTGAGACTGAGAATGCAGAAATCAGAGCTGAGATGGAGGCTTCTAAACTAAGTGCATCAGAATCGGTCACAACCTGTCTGGAGGTTGCAAAAAGGGAGAAAAAGTACCTGAAGAAGCTTTTGGCTTGGGAGAAACAGAAAACTAAGTTGCAGAAGGAGATTGCTGATGAAAAGGAGAAGATTAGGGAGCTGCAACAATCGTTAGCACAAGTAGAGCAGGATCAGAAAGAAACAGAGGTACATCATGCTTACTTATTGATGTAGCCATCTCTTTAGGCCTAGGTTTTTTGTTATTTTGGTGTGAAATAAAGGGTGATCAATTGAGCATTTTCAATGTCCATCTGGTATGCTTCCTTTGGCACTGTTTATAAATAATTTAACCGATTTAGAGGGTCCCTGGTTAAAAGATGTCTTGTTTAGTTTATCTAAAGGTCATAGTTTAGACAACAAGCACGTGATCCAATTAGAAGCTGGAATTCACATTCTGGAGTTCTATCTCATTAACATATTCATTTAGTTTAAGGTCTTGTAATTGGAGCTTTTCCACTTTTTTGTGATGCTCACTTGAAAATTTCAAGTGGAATATGAGTTTAAGTGTGATGTTAATCTGTCGGAAAGAACGAGACTCATTATTTTGGGAGTAAAATTGTCAGGCTGGGGAAGGCACCTTAGCTGAAAAGCAGCCGAGGCAAGCTTGTGATTGTGAACTTGCTAAGATTCTTGCTGTGAACCTATAACTCTTTAACTCATCCCAAGTAGTTCAGTGTCCCACTTTTTTCATTTTGTAATTTGTTAGATTCACAAGTGTGACTTGCTCAGGATGAGAGCCAATCTTTTTTATGTTCAAATTTCTGTCCCATGATTTTCTCAACTGGAGTATTGAGCTAGTCCAGACTTATAATCTCGTTATCTTTAATGTGGATGTATCTTCTAACTCTCCCAATTTCAAGAGTGTAGCAATTATGCTGTGCAATCTTCTTTTACAGTCAAAATGGAGGGAGGAGTTAAAGGCTAAAGAGCTAGCCTTGGCTCAGGTAGAGGAGGAACGACGCTCCAAAGATGCAGCTGAGGCAAGCAATAAAAGAAAGCTTGAGGCTTTGCGCCTGAAGATAGAGATAGACTTTCAGCGTCATAAGGATGATCACGAACGACTTGAGCAGGAGCTTTCCCGTCTGAAACTATCCGCACAGTCTACCAAGTTGAATCATCAGCCAGATAATTTACTCAAGGGAAAGTTAGAAGGGGCAAAGCCAGAGGGAGAAACAATTGCTAGGTTACTCCATGAATTAGATAAACTAGAGGATTCTTCTGAGAAGGAAGTTGACTGTGATAGAGAATGCATAATATGTTCAAAAGATGAAGTCTCTATTGTTTTTCTGCCTTGTGCACACCAGGTTCTGTGCTTTAATTGCAATGAAAGTTATGGGAAGAAGGGTAAAGCTACTTGTCCATGCTGCCGGGTGCGAATTGAACAGAGAATTCGTGTTTTCGGTACTAGTTCCTAGTTGCGGTTTGGTTTAAGAAAATGCAACTAGTCTTTTGGCATACTTTAGTATCATGCAGTTTTCTTTTCCTAGCACTCAGTGAGAATGCTGGATTTCACATATACTTGACTAGAAATGCTTCTGGTGCTTTAGCATGGTGAGTTTGTATGTAAATAAATACCAATTTTCTCTCAGCTGGCTCGTGCTTTAGCCTTAAAATAAGTTAAACTCATATTTCTTTTGTTGCCATCGGGTTGAAAACCTGAATTGAGCGAGTGGTTTGTCATATGTTTTATTCATGATATTGTCCATAATATTCCTAACAGTATTGATGCACAGTTCTTAGTCCTTAGATAATGAAAACCATCTCTATACACTAGTTCCTTAAGTATTCTTCTCTTGTTCCATGCCTGCAGCAGAATTGGGTGAATGTCATCTATTATCAAGTATCTCAACCACTTTGAAACCAGAACTTGGTGTATTTAAGCACCTCTATCCATCTACTAGTCTAGATATTTCAAGATTGTTTCAGCTAAAAATCAGAAAAAAAAAAAAAAAAAGAAAAGTTTTCTACATGATATCTAAGCCACCATAACAATATTATACACAAAATATGAAGATTCTCCTTTTTGTTACTTTATCAATTTTATGATGTCATACGTTTATTTCATAGGACAAATCAATCAACTTCATATTTTACTGCAAATTAAGTTGGGATTTTATTATTTTGAACACTTCAATTTACTTTCATTTATTACATTATACTCTTTTGGGGCATATTTATTTAAATAGGTTATAGATCATGATCCGATTTATTAAGGATCCTTTGGTGCAAGTTAGGAGGAATTCCCATCATGATACATTTTCGATTGAATTTTTAAGAGTTTAATCATAAAATGATATAACGACATAGGCATTTTTCTCACCACGATGCTAAAATGAGTTGTATTTTATGGTTTTCTTTTTTTTTTTCGTTTACGAAGGAAAAAGGAGATATCATTGTGCATACGGAAGCTTTAGAACATTTAGCATGTAAATGAAGTGAGAAACTAAAAGTAACAAAAACTGAGAAAAAGTTTCAGAAATCAACCACTAGTAGATGGCCAAATGTAAGCAGACCAAAGGAAAATATGGCAAATCGAGGAGTTGAGAATGCACGAGAAGTTTGGGCTTGGTTAAAAATCAAGGACAGCTTTAGTTTCCCTAGTATGAAAATTTCTCACACGATGTTGAGGTTAGGTTAACAAACAAAAAGGCCTTTCTAACCCTTCTTTTTCTACCAAGTTAAAACTTTCAACGCCATTATTTTGCTTAGCAAGCTGCACATAGTCCGTGACCCCGGAAGTCTCTCTGCCCTCTAGCTTTGCCATTGTTTATATAGCAAAAGACTCTGCCCTTTACTCTCCTATTCCCAACTCTAATATCTTGTGGTTGCATACAGCCCTTGATCATCTTGATCAACTGGCGGTGCACTGTTGTGTCAACCATGGTTACTGGTACGAGAAGAAGAAATGCAACTTGAATTGTAGTTTTGGAAAATGACATTGGATCCTGCTCTATATTTTGCTTGGTGCAACTCAACTTTGACCATGTGTTGAATAATGCTGATTCTTGAGAGTTCAATAAATTGACAATATTGAAAAAATAAAGTACAATATACCAAAAAAAAAAGGTTAATTACATTAGAGAAAAAGGTGAAACTATTATCATAAATTCTAGGAATATGGTCTAGGTAAAAGATAGGCTTTGGCAGTAATCTGTTACAAATCTGGTAATTTCTGTTCAATTTGCTATAAATATATACTGTCTTTGTGAAAGGTCACATCAAATTTATGAGATACTGACTTATAAAGTATTTTTTATTTTAATTTAAAAGTTTTAAAATTTTATTTAAGACAAAAAACTTTATAAATTTAAATTTAAATTTTTACATATATATCATAATAAAATTTCAAAATATTCTATGTAAAATTGAGTTAAAACGAAGGTTTTATAGTTTATAGTAGAACCTCGTAATATTCTTATGTGAGATTAGGTTAAGCAGAAGATCTTACGGTTTTATGTCACAAACTCCTCCCGTTAAGTCAAAAGTTTAACGATTTTATCTCATATAAAGAGATTTAAATTTTTACATATATATCATAACAAAACCTCAAAATATCCTGAGATAACAAAGCACACACCTAATGTTGAAATTTTAGCACACAAATCACAAGATATTGGAATTCTAGCACATAGATCACAAGATCAAAACACACACCAAATGTTGAAATTTTAACACACAAATCACATGATCACACAAGACGTTGAAATTTTAGAGGCAGTTTTCACTACTCTTGTCTAACAGATAACCGTTTTAATACTATTTGTTAAAATTCTAGCACATAGATCATAAGATCATAGCACATACCAGATGATGGAATTCTAACACATAGATCACAAAATCACACAAGATGTTAGAATTTTATAGGTAACTCCCATTGTTACGAACCTAAGGAGAAGTCTTGAATCTCACATCGGTTATGTACTAGAGTTAGCCATAGGATATAAAAGTTCATACTACCTATTTCTTGTAAAATGCCTGTTGTAGAACAAAACAATGAGAACAAAGGAGCCAAAATGGATAATACCTCATAAAGGTAAGAAACCTGACGGTCAGGCTAATCTGAAATACCGAATGAGTCAATGCCCAAGTTTTGGAGCCACACGACCCTAAAGGTTAAGTCTTGGCCTATGACAAGTAGTATCAGAGTCAACTTTGAATGTACTAGCGATATGCCACCAAGACAGTGGCCCTTATTGGAGTAAAGGGGGATGTCACGAACCTAAGGAGGACTCATAAATTTCACATCGACTGTGTACTAGAATTAGCCATAGGATATAAGCCCTTATTGGAGTAGAGGGGGATGTCACGAACCTAAGGAGGAGTCATAAATCTCACATCGACTGTGTACTAGAGTTAGTCATAGGATATAAGGGTTAGTCTTCATTGGAGTAGAAGGGGATGTCACGGACCTAAAGAGGAGTCTTGAATCCCACATCAACTGTGTACTGGAGTTAGCCATAAGATATAAAGGTTGGCCCTCATTGGAGTAGAGGGGGATGTCACAGACCTAAAGAGAAGTCATGAATCCCACATCGACTGTGTACTAGAGTTAGCCATAGGATATAAGGGTTCACACTACCTCCTACTTGTGAGAAACTTTTTGTAAGATAAAATCGTGAGGTCAGAGAGGCCAAAGCAGACGGTCAGGTTAACCTAGGAAGTTGGATGAGAGGATGCCTCCTAAATCTCACATCGACTGTGTACTAGAGTTAGCCATAGGATATAAGCGTTCACATTACCTCTTACTTGTGAGGAGCTTTTTGTAAGATAAAATCGTGAGGCTAGAGAGGTCAGAGCAAATAATATCTCACAATGGTGTGAACCGTGGCGGTCAGATTGATCTAGAACATCGGATGAGTGGATGCCCATGGTAACAGGTTGATCTAGGACATCGGATGAATTGATGCCCAGGTCCTGGAGCCACGTGGGCCTAAAGGTTGAGTCTCGGCCTATGATAAGTAGTATAATGGTGTGAACGTGACGGTTAAGTTGACCTAGGATGTCGGATGAGTGGATGCTCCTGGTAGTCAGGCTGATATAAGACATCGGATGAATTGATGCCCAGGTCTTGGAGTCAAGCGGGCCTAGAGGTTGAGTCTCAACCTATGACAAGTAGTATTAGAACCTGCTCTGGAGGTACTAACGATGTGCCATCGAGGACGGTGGGCCCTCATTAGAGTAATGAAGGATATCACGGATCTAAGGAAGAGTCCTAAATCCCACATTGACTATGTATTAGAGTTAGCCATGGGATATAAAGGTTTACACTACCTCCTCCTTATGAGGCGCTTTTTGTAGGATAAAATCGTGAGATCAATGGGGTCAGAGCAAACAATACCTCATAAGGGTGTGAACCATGAGGGTCAGGTTGACCTAGGACTTCGAATGAGTGAATGCCCAAGTCCTAGAGTTGTGCGGACCTAGAGGTTGAGTCTCGGTCTATGACACCACCACTCCCGTTTGATCACAGGATCAAAACACACACCAAATGTTAAAATTCTAACACATAGATTCTAGCATACAGATCACATAAGACGATAAAATTTTAGAGGTAGCTCCCACCACTCCTGTATAATTGGTAACCGTTTTAATACCATTTATGAAGTCCTGTATCCAACCTGTAGCACACTAGCAATCTTTCTAATACTATTTGATCACAAGATCAAAGTATATACCAACTGCTCTAATACCATATGATTATAGGATCAAAGCACACACCAAACGTAAAAATTCTAACACAGATTCTAGCACATAGATCACAAGATCACACAAGACGTTAGAATTCTAGAGGTAGCTCCCACCACTCTCGTTCGACTAGCAACTATTTTAATACCATTTGTAAAGACTCACACCTAACCTGTAACATACTGGTAACCGTTCTAATACTATTTGATCATAGGATCAAAGCACACACCAATTGCTTTAATACCATTTGATCATAGGATTAAAGTATACACCGGACGTTGGAATTCTAACATATAGATTCTAGCACACAGATCACAGGATCATAAAAGATGTTAGAATTCTAGAGATAGCTCCACCACTCTCATTCGATTGATAACATGCTCTAATACCTTTTGATCATAAGATCAAAGCACATACCAGACGTTTGGAATTCTAACACATAGATTACAAGATCACAAAAGATGTTGGAATTCTAAAAATAGCTCCCACCAGTCCCGTCCTATAGGTAGCTCCCACCATTCTCATCCGACTGGTAACCACTCTAATACATTTGATCACAGATCCAAGCACACACCAAATGTTAGAATTCTAACACACAGATTCTAGCATACAGATCACAGGATTACATAAGACATTTAAATTCTAAAGGTAACTCCCTCCACTCTTATCCAGTTGGTAACCACTCTAATACCATTTGTGGAGATCCGCACTCAACGTGTGAGATATTATTTACTTTGACTCGAATGTCTTATGGTTTTTTCTCACACAAGACGCTTCATAAATTTGAGTTTAAATCTTTACATGTATATTATAGCAGAACCTCAAAATATCTTAATGTGAAATTGAAGTGTAACAGAATTTGCTCCTTTCCTTGCCATTATTAAACAATAGAATTAACAGTAATCTGTTATAATAGAATATTAAAACCATTCTAATCATCATCATTAACAAAGATTAATAATAAATAAACAATGATCTTTACCAGATTTAGTGTTTCTCTTTTTATTGACTTCAGCCCTGTGAAAATGACCAGGTTTCAATTTCTTATTTTCTTTGTACGCTTTATGATTGAAGGCATGTGAATATAGAAACAACATCGCCTCTCTCCCTCCCTCTTCATATAAAGTAGCATTGCCTCCAGAGAAGAAAGCTGGGGTTCTCACAAATACGCCAAAAACTCCCCACCAGCCACCCACTAAAATATCAGTAAATTTTTTTATGCTATGCTTCTTTCTGGTCTGTATAGTCTCAATTTCTTTAACTAAATACATGCTCCTCCTCCATTCATCATAGCTTGTTTCTCTCAAGAAATGGATACCAAAGTTCACGAGGGAATGGAGAGTGAAATGAATGGAAATGGTGAGCCTGAAAAGGTTAAGAACAACTGGAAGAAACGTGTACTTTGTTTTTATAGGAAAATGAAAAGATTTCCCAGTTGGTTGTGGCAAACCATTTGGAACGTTGGTCGAGACGACCCCAGAAGGATGATTCATGCTTTCAAGGTTGGGTTGTCTTTGACACTAGTCTCCCTATTGTATTTGATGGAACCATTGTTCAAAGGGATTGGAACAAATGCCATTTGGGCTGTCATGACAGTCGTTGTTGTGCTGGAATTCACCGCAGGTTGAGTTTTCTTGTTGAATTTCCCTTGGCCTAACCCTACTTGTTAATTTTGTTACCATGTATTAGCTTTCTTGATGAACAATCGATATATACTTAAATTTTGTTTCTGTTTTAACAGGAGCAACCTTATGCAGAGGACTGAATAGGGGATTAGGGACAGTGTTGGCAGGATCATTGGCATTTCTCATTAAGTTTATTGCAACTAAATCCGGAAAGGTCTTTCGAGCTGTTTTCATAGGAGCTGCAGTTTTTCTGATAGGTAGGTATCCAATTTCAATGGAAATTCTCTTCTCCAACCCACCTCTTAAGCCTGTTCTTTATATCTTCTCTCTTTTTCATTCATTTCTCAATTCAACAGGAGCTGCAGCCACATACATGAGGTTCTTTCCCTATATAAAGAAAAACTACGACTATGGTGTTGTGATATTCCTCTTGACCTTCAATTTGATCACTGTGTCAAGCTACCGTGTCGAAAACGTATTAAATATTGCACATGATCGGTTCTACACCATTGCCATTGGCTGTGCCATTTGTCTTTTCGTGAGTCTTCTGGTATTTCCAATTTGGTCTGGTGAAGATCTCCACAACTCCACTGTAGGCAAGCTTGAAGGGCTTGCTAAATCTATAGAAGGTACACAAATTCGAGAACTGCAATCAATGCCTTGAGTACTTTATCTTTCCATTCTTTATTTTGTTAATAACTGATCATATAACTCTATTGCAAAATGATGCAGCTTGTGTAAATGAGTACTTTAATGATTCTGAGATAAAAGAAAACCAAGATAAATCATCAGAGGATCCCATCTACAAAGGTTACAAGGCAGTTCTGGATTCCAAATCTATTGATGAAACTCTGGTAAGTTCTTGTTGCATTAATGTACTATCTAAAGTAGCCCTTCAATAATGTTTATGGCTAATTCAAAGAAGAATTCTTTTTTGTGCAGGCACTATATGCAAGTTGGGAACCAAGGCATTCAAGGCACTGTTACAGATTTCCATGGCAGCAATATGTGAAAGTGGGAGCTGTTCTTCGCCAATTTGGATATACTGTTGTAGCTCTGCACGGATGCTTGCAAACTGAAATTCAGGTAATCTTCAAATACAAATTGCCTTTGTTAGCAGAATAAAGAAGTAAATAAGAGTAATAATAAACATAATTACATGTTTTGGCAATTCCTTGTAGCGGACTGTTCCTTGTGATACCCATTAATGAAGTAAAGAAATTCACCTCCAAAAAATTGGGCTTTTATGGGGAGCCGCATCATGAAGCAGGATATAGCTTTCCTCAGTGGCCACAACTCTTTTACTGCAAAAAATAGGCAGCTTTCTATTAGTATATCAGTATTTGATTCTCCATTATAAAGATATGATCATCAATAATTTCTTATGATACTAAATAACAACAGACCAACTATTGTATCAGAGAAACTGTAATCACTGTTTCTCATATTCTTTTGCTCCCCCATAATTATATGCAATATACATTTTTTTCTCAGTTCACTTCATCGTTTTTTCTTAGACCCCACGATCAGTCCGTGCCCTCTTCAAAGACCCCTGCATTAGACTTGCTGGAGAAGTAACCAAAGCGCTAATGGAACTTGCCAACAGCATCAGAAATCGTCGCCATTGCTCCCCTGAAATACTCTCCGATCATCTTCATGAAGCCTTGCAAGACCTTAACACTGCCATAAAATCCCAACCAAGGCTCTTCCTAGGCTCCAACAATAACCAGGCCACCAACATGCTAGCATTAGAAGCTGCTCATGCTGCTCGACATAAGCAAGAAAAGGACCATGGAGTTTCATTATCAAGTGTAAAAACAGACTCATCCGCATTGTTGGAATGGAAAACTAATAGGGTTAGTGAACAAGCTAAAGAAAATGAAAGGAAGGTTTTGAGACCACAGTTGAGCAAAACTGTAATCACTAGCCTCGAGTTCTCAGAAGCACTTCCTTTTGCTGCTTTTGCATCTTTGCTAGTTGAGATTGTGGCAAGGCTTGATAATGTGATTGAAGAAGTTGAAGAATTGGGGAGTATAGCTTGCTACAAGGAGTTCAATCCTGATGATGATGAAATTACTGGGACATGTGAAAAACCACCATTGGATGTCACTAAGAATCAGCTGCCATCCCATGCATCAGATTAAAGGGAGACAGGCCTTTTAGGAGATCAGTTTTCTTAGATGGGCCTGGTTTGTTTGTCATATGAAAATGTAAGAACAGATTATTAGTCTGTTTGTAGATTGGTTTTCATTTACCATGAAGATTTTAGATGACATGATGCAAGTTGTAGCCATTGATCTTTTTGGGTGTGAACTTTTATTGGGTTGGCTCCAATAAATTGTAGTTTGATAGATCATAGATATTCCCTCCATCAAAAGAAAGACGTCGATATTCTCGTTAGATTTAGAACTAAAGAACAAAACATAAATAGCTGAGACGAAAGCTCTCAATTTGCTAAAGTTGAAAATGCAGCAAAGGTGGGAAATTGAGAATATAATTTTAGAATTAAGATGGATTTTTTTTTCCTGCCTGTTTGAAGAACACTTAATTATATGTGACAAAATTACTAACTTATACTTCTGAATTATTTATTCCGGCAGATTGCAGTTACCAAATTTACACCCAAAATAAAAGGAAATCGGACTTACTAAAAACATCCAAAGTCCAAAACTGAAGAAAGGATGAAAACCATCTCGGCCCAACATGGTTCAAACCAGTAACCTCTTGATCTGCAACCAAATGCTCTATCCACTAAGCAAAGGCCCATCTTGCTTCACAAGATGCCAACCTGTCCCAGTAAACAGCAAGGGAAGGAGACGACTACTAATGAATCGATAGGTCATTTAAGATATTAGATAAGACACTATTTTGTGGAATTTGTGAGGATGTCAGTAAATGAAAGATTAAAATGGCATGTTGCTTCTCAAACTCTGTTGTATTCCAGCAGGCCTGGAGGAGAAACTTACCGCTTATTTGGTTGGAACATAGGAAAGAAGAAAATTGCTAACCTTAAGCCACAGCCCAAGTAACATGAAACTGATCTTCCTTTCTCTTCTTCTCTATTTGACAAAACATTCTAAAATTATACTCTCTGACCCACATGCATCATTATAAAAAATGAACTTAATTTCTTGGCAGACAACAAGCTTTTAGAGATATTATTACATATGTTTTCTGATTCGAAATTATGCTACTGGATAGTAGTTCTAATATGTTACCTTGTCATATATGTTTATTAGCAGGTAGGGAATTAAAATGCTGTTATAAGGCTTCTATTGATGGATTTAGTGCGACGAATTTTCATGACTGCTGTGATTTCAAGGGACCCTGTGTGATAATCGGATACACAGAAAAGTCCTTCAAGTTTGGTGCTTTCAACCCCGAAGGCTATAGGAGCACAGATGATTACTATGATACATTTGATGCATTCCTCTTCTACCGTACAGACAATGAGGAAACTGAACCTTTATACTTCCCAAAATAGGGGGAAGTGGTGCATTTTTTGATTCTCCAGGAGGTCCCCTGCTTGGTGCTGATGGATTGCTCATTGTACCTCCCCTAGCGACAGTTGTGGGCGGGTTTGCAGGGCCTGACACTAATTCTGGCATTGGAGACTTGAGGTAAGCCAAATCTAGATTGGGATTATCGTATGCTAAGAGGATAGATGGTAACCAATAACTCTTTGGAGACGAGTCCAAGGCCACCCTTGAGGAAGTGCAAGTTTTTGGCGGTCCCCAAATTGCCAGCTTATACAAAGGTGAGTAGGGACTTGGAAATTCTAATTCAACCAACTTAATTGAAAAAAAAATTCTTAGTCTATATCTTTGCAATGAAAAATCCTTTTAGCATTTTCATTTAAAGATGATTATTTCAGCTCAAGTAGTTAAAGACATGTAATTTTAATTATTTTAGGTAAGACCCACCACTATTCGAGAGCTGACTCTCAATACAAGAAATTGTGGAAAACCTCTCATAGGGGGAAAAGGATATCAAAAACTGTTATTTTCTTAAAGTTCATGGCCACTTAACTCAGTGGTGGAGTTCTTTTTGGGACTTCATTTTCAATTCTTAGGAGCGGGAGCATATTGTTAAAAGTGAATTTTCTTGAACCACGAAATCAAGTTTTTATTTGGTGAGGAAAGAGGCTACACCCCTATTCCATACCTAAAGGCCAATGGGCAACTGAAGCCATAGGGGGTGGGAGAATCCAAATTTAGAGAATATTTACTTTCTGTTGCATGAATAGAGTTTAGGTGTATTAGTCCTTTTATAAACATTCTCAAAGTTATATTATTTGCAGTTTCTTTACAATATTCTTAGTGAAGAAAGGATAGTGAACAACTTGTTTAAAACTCAATGGATGGCACCTTTTGGTAGTCCTCATTGAATTTGGTTTGGCTTCAGTGCCCCCACTTTGGGTTTATCTTACTGATAATGTTTGTTTTACTTTCAGGATTCACTACCAAATTTCATTTCATGTTAAGAAGGTACTTTCCTAATATTTAGTAGATTCCATATAGAAGAAATGAATCCGTATTTTATTTCTGTAGTTGAAAGGAAAAAAAAAAAAAAAGGACCAGAGATGAGACAGGAAATGTAAATTTTGATATTAATACTTTAGTTACTGTACACTTTATATTAATCACTATCATGGTTCATAAATCAAAAGTTATTTGTTATTGTCTTATTCTATGAAATTATAACTGGGATGAGTTTAGAAGAACTTCAAAAAGAGGAAAACTCAAACAATAGATTTAGTCATATTACTCCCATTGAATGGCCCTTCATGATCAGTAGAGATTACTTGCTTCTTTAAGCAATTGCTTCAATTGTATTGTTGCTTGACGAAGTTAATTGCAAGATAATCCTTGAATAAACAAGGCTTAGGGAAATTTCAGTGATGCGATCTGAAAGGAAATTTAGTGGATAGTGACCTTTCTTTACTTCCTTTCAGAATCTGCCAAGCCAAACCTGAAGAACAAAATGTGGAGAATAGTGGCAAAAAAGACAATGTTGATAGCTGCGGCATTAACTGGTGCAAGTCACCTTCTTATTGGGATGATATTTTTGGAGAAGCTTGGAGGATACAGAGATATCAATGCCGCCCAAAGCCTCCAAAATGTGAATAATGCAATTGAACTGTTGGCAAACTCAGTCCATATCAAGTACCCCACTGAATTGATAGAATGCCGACCAAAAGTTGAAAGTGTTTGTCTAAAGTTTACATCTAGATAGAAATGGCGTATGACAATTGACTAAAGTTCATCCTGAACTTTAAATCTCAGGCGAATATTGCATTTTCAAAAGCTTCAAGCAATTTGACAGCAATAGTGAAGTAGACAACTCTGCTTGATGATTATGTAAAATCTCCCCGGCCAGTTCAAACATTCAGCCATTGCCAAATTATTTACCGTCACCTGATATTTCTGTTTAAGTGTTCATTTACCATGTATAGAAGATTCATGAGTTTGAACGTTCCCATAAATTTTATCTGAAAATATGAAATTAATGCACTTGGAAGCTTACTTTATTTCATAAGGCCATGCAGGTAAAACATTACAGTTGCCATTAAACCAGCTCCAGGTGCAATCTATAAAAGTGATTACCACCAGGTGGTCATTTTTGTATCTAACAACATAAACCAGAAACTAATTAAAACAGGTACTAAGCTGCTCCCATTGCAGCCCCAGTACACGATATAACAAAGACACAGCAACCTTAATGGAACCTAAGCAGTGAAGGGGTTATGCTTATTGTTTATTACTCCAAGAACCAACATTAAAAGGCGTCGTCTTAGAGACCCCTTCCGAATAAGACAAACTAGGTACTGTCATTCATTACCGGTGAGGACCCCCTACATCACAATCACCAACTTGTCTTCCTGCAACCAGAGACCACCACATTCCCCCAAATTCCCATCTCCACTGGCTTGCAAGAAAATTGGACCTTGGTCCAAAGTTTCAAGCCCTCCATCGAGAAAAGAAGAGCTAACATGATCTTTCCTTCCTTTTTCAGAAAGGATTCAGATAGTTGAATGAACCAGTCTGGTCATAGCCTTCATTGCCATAGAAGTCTATGTAATTTGCATGCCCTGAGTAAAGTGACATGCAGCCAATGCGACTGAGATCATCAACATGTTCGGTTTCCCCAAAATTTGAGTACGATGAGCTAGGGGAGAAATCATTATGTTCATATTGCTGCCAGGAGGCCACTGAGCTAGGAAACTCGTTCATTGGAAAGTAGTGGGCTGCTGTTTGACATATTTGTGGATAATCCTGCCATAAGCCAATGGGGAATTGTTAGAGACCCAAAGAAACCCTAACAACTAAATCTTCCAGTTCCATTTTTCTTTGTCCAGAACAAGTTATATACCTTTGAAGAATCAAGAATTAGGTCAGGTGAGACCCAGACGCTTGAAGGATCGGTATCCACAGAAACAGGCTCAAATGGTGGCACTTGTGTGACTTCATAAGGATAAGGAGAAGTGATAGGGCTTGCATAACGACTCTCGATGTTAGGGTAACTTGTTTGACACGAAATGTCATCAGAAGTGCTCAAGGGTGCGTTGCAGATCCTTGATGAGGTGTTCAGTTCCACACTGGTTGAACTGCCTCCGACCCTCGTGGCTTTGGGTTCTCTATGGGCATCATTCTTCTTCTGTTCGTTCCTTTTCACAACACGACACAAGGCAAAAGCACCCTGGAGAGAATCAAAACAAACTGGTTATATAATTGTTTCAGTAAATCAAAATATGAAGACAAAACAATCATATATGCTTATGTTTTCACCTGATTAGTTGATCCTTGAGCAGGCCCATCAGACAGCCGATACTCATGCATAACCCAATCCGTTCGATCCCCTAAAGGGGCACGTCCCCGGTAGAAAACTAGGGTCTTACGGTAGCCAGTCACAGCAGATTGACACAACACTTTCCTGTCTTTTCCTGTAGCTTTCCAATAGCCAGCTTTGGTGGCTCGGTTTGTTCTTGAGCCATTTGGGTACTTTCGATCCCTGGGGCAGAAAAAGAACCATTCCAGATCTCGTTTCGGAAGGAACGACTTCTCTGCAAAAGCAATTGGAATTTTTTTTCCTTTTTAAATTCTCAATTAAAGCAGTGAAATCGACAAGATTAATGCAACTATTTTAGTTAGTGCTTTCTTCATTTTTTTCCATCAGAAAACAAAAAGAAATCTGATTGAACGGGATTTAAGTTGAAAAAAGAAAAAGTTGCGGGTCCTACGGGAATAAAGAGCTGTTCTGATATAAAGAACTGTAAAAGAAAGAACACCAAACTACACAAAACAAACAAAAAAGTGCTTTTCCAACATTAAAAGAAACCCATGTTCACATTCCCCTGAACCTGAAACTTCCATTCTATCACCTGTAATCATACTATTTCTTTCATCTGGTGCTTATTAGAATTTAGAACCCACATCCCTTTAGATGTGCCTCTCCTGTCATCTTGAACATATAAACTTTTTACTGTGACATCTCATCAATTCTGAAGGTTTTGAAAAAACGATGTTCAGAAGAGTACCTGGCAACTCCCAAGGATCAAACTTGTACAAATCGATCACAGGAACCACTTCAAGCTCAATTTCGAGTCCTTCAGTTTTTCTCTTCAGGTAATATCCTACCAATTCCTCGTCAGTGGGATGGAACCGAAAGCCTGGTGGCAGTGATGCTCCTCCCATTATCTCAGTCCCCAGTTTGCTTAACTTTCCTCTAGTACGATAGTTTAGAAATATAAGGAAATGAAAGAATAGATTGGCAGAAAAGGGGAAACAGAAAACAGAAATAGAGCAAAACAGAACAAAAGCAGAGTCCAGAAAGTTATGAACTTTGCCGCTAACTGCCAAGGCTGTATCTGTTAAAAATCTGGAAAATCCAAAAGTAAAAGCTTTTATCAACAATAGATTTTTTGTCAAGAACCGAGTACAGTTTCCACAGAATGCACCCGTTGAATGACAGAATCATTGTCTTTGAAATGTAAAGTTGTTCTTCCAGTGAAACTAGTACTCCCTTTCCACCCCCTCACAAAATTTTATCCCAAAAAAAGTTAGATTGAACAAGAACTTTGATTACAAACCACACCCAGAAACCAAAATGGATTCAACTCTGCAATTTGAACTAACTTCCTAAAATCTAATTAGAACTCCCAAAATTGGAACCTAACCATTCAAAACCTCTAGTAAAATTGGAAATTTTGATTTCGAATAGCGCCTGGAATTGTACCTAAAGGCAAAAGTTATGTTTTTTCTATGAATTATGATACAGTTGACTAGAGAAACAAGCTGGAAGAAGAGAATTTGAGAAGAGTAAAAATGGAGGCATGTGGGATGTACAATATATAGTGCTTAGAAGGCACCAGTCAAAAAAAAAAATAAAAACACACCGAAAGTGCATAGATTAGCTTGTCTGAAGCTTACCCCTAAATTCCGCAGGCTTGGTCCCACCTACTTGAACTAAGTTCACATCTAACTAGTAACTAGTTATTCCTGCCAACTTAATTTATGACCTTTGCATAATTATTTTGCCTATATTTTTTCCTTTTTCTTTTCCTTTGTACTATCCTCTTTTGTGAGTACAATGAGAGATGATCGACACTGTGCCCCGTGGTAATGTTTAACTGCTTATTTAATGTTAATTAATCTGTCAAAATGTACTTATTAAAAGTAATAATTATAATTTTTTGAGTTAATATTTGATATATTATTTTTGTAAAATTTTAATTATATAAATATAATTAAAAAGGTGACATCACACCTGTATAGTAAAATTTTATATTGGTAATATATCAATTTTTTTTTTTTTTTTGTAAAAATTGTTTTACAAGATTTCAAATGATCATATCTTTTTAATTTGAATTTACCATTTAAGTTAGTTGAGTTTGACGTTTGATTAGGCATCAAACTGCATATTAATCTTTCACGAAGAATCTTAGTTAATAAAAATCTTCTACGAAGAATCCAACCTATAATCAAGCTTTTTTAAAATGATTTAATTTCATAAATGAGATATTAATTTTATTCATATTTAATAAAAATTTTGATTTTTCACTCAAATAAAAATTAAGATGAATGGAAATAGAGACAGAAATATGTTTTATTTTAAATTTTTATCTAAAGATGGAGATAAGTAAAATAATATGCATTTTGTATCTGTGCTATATATATTTATATGTATTTAATAAATAAATTTTTATTAAATAATATAAATTATTTTTTAATTAATTTAAATTAATATATTTTTTAAAAATATATATATTAATATATATTTATAAAAATTACATAAATATGTAAAATAAAAATAAAAAAGCTAAAAATATATTTTTATTTTTAAAAAAAATTAGATACGTATATTACTCATATTTATTGAATATTCATTAAAATATAAATAAATAAATTTAAATTATTTATTGGATATGAGTACGGTACTTCATCTCCGTATAGATTTGAAACATAAATCATTTATGATTTTTATAGAATTCAAAATGTAAAGATTTAATGGTTTATTGGCTGAAAATTTTCTTAAATTCTTTTTTTTTTTTTCAAAACAAATAATAACTCGCAATGAGTATAATCTGATAATTTTTGCATCAATGATGCTAATCCGAGTGAAAGAATGCCGCCATAGGAATTGAAAAAATAATTGGAGAAATTATCATGGCAAGAGGCATTGATTGGGGGAATTTGGGTTTTCTTGGTTTTGTCCTACTGGCTACTGCTCTAAGCACATTCCATGTCATTTTGAGTCAGACAAACCACTTTTCCTTTCTTTTGTGGAGTTGATTATGTCATCTACCTGGCCCACTTCTGAAAAAGATAAAGACTGTCAAAATGTGCTTCATGAGTTTTTCAACTTTTTCGTGTGTCCAAAATCACCCTACTGCAAGCTCAATTGTCCTTTTGAATCACCCTACTGTAATTTTGTAGGGCCAATTAAGCAACCGGCTGACGATGGAAAGAGTGTACCCGGGAAAGAAGTGATTCTAAAGCCTCGCTTTAACGCTTAAGTTATTGTACGGTTTAGGAGCTATTTGAACAGTGGATAAGATTGATTTTGATAATATTAAAAATAATAATTATAATTAAAAAAATTATAATAAATAAATTTTATTAAAATTTATATTTAAATTTAATTGATAATTCGATGAACTTATAGATTGTGGATTAGGTGATTGTTAATATAGGAATTAGTTAGTGGGAATTCTTGCTTTTCACATTGAGGGAACGGGTGAAAATAGACAAAGCTGAATCTATACTTTCTAACTGTTTATTGATTTATATATGTTCATTTTAAGAGAAATTTAAGGGGAAAACAGGGATGTTAGGTTAGGTTCAGTACTTTCATAAGCTAAAAGTTCAAGTTATCGTGAAGCACAATCTGTATATCATTTGTCTTAATCAAATCTTGCTTACATGTAAAAAAAAAAAAAATGTGCATGCATCACATTTATCATGAGTTATGCAATTATATTTTTGAATATAAGAAAGGGTTTGAAGAGATAACACTTATTTTACTCTAGTTGAAATTTTTATTACTTTATCCCTCTTTTATATATAATTATAGATTTGAATATTAAAACGCATCCGAATGTTTTAATTTCAATATCCTTTCAATTGATTTTTTTCATTGACAAATTAGATGAACTCTCTTTCCCATCAATCCAAAAGCACCTAAAAAGGGACTAATTAAACGTGTTGTATTCTTTAAAAATTTCAAATTGGAAAGAAACATTGGGAATTCTCATATTTACTAGCAGAATGAGATTTTTAAGGGATTAATATGTTATAATTACTGTTTTCACCATTGGACCAAATTAAATTCCACTTATTGGCTTTGATTAAAAATCCTATGCTTCTTAGAAAAAGTATATTAGTAAGCAATTGAAGCTAATAGACTCTTCTTTCAATTAAAGTATATTTGTATTTCTATCTAGATGGCACTTTTTCAGCCTAAGAAAGGTCTTTTTACCCATTAATTAAACTTTAAAAATGTTTTCTTGAAATTTTTATTTTATTTTTAAAGATGTTTGATTCATAAAATTTAATATTTTCATAAATAAAAAAAAGATTTCGAAGAATGGATAATTTTTTCTGTCATAAAAATATTAGATTCTTGTGACAATTAAACAATATGCCTGTCGCTCACTTGAATTTTTTTTTTCCTTCCAAAAAACAAATATGTATTTAGAAGGAAAAGACAAGGAATTATGTTAGTCTTTCACTTTAGAGTTTGGTAGGCTCAGTTACTTTATAATAATGGGTCAAACTCAAATGATTTCACTCAATTTTAAATATTAATAATAAACGATTGATATAAAAAAAATAGTGTTTCTCTACATTGATATGACTAAAATTTATTAAATTAAAAAATTTATTTTTAGTGTTTCTCTACATTGATATGATTAAAATTTATTAAATTAAAAATTTTATTTTTACTTTTATATTATTTTAATTTAAAATTTCTAATACATTAATAGTCTTATTTTAATTTAACTTTTTAATTTATTTTTTATTGAATTTTTTTCTTCATTTTGTCGTCGTCACACTTATCAATTATAGTTTTTTCCTTTATGAGTTTGATCCAATTAACAAATGGCAGGTTTGATTTACTTGATGTAATAATTATTTCATATGTAATTAATTATTAATAGTTCAAATCTAATTTTATTATAAAAGAAAAAAAATATTGTATCATTTTATTTTCTAACATTTTAATTATCGTGATAAAAAAATTTGTAAAAAGTATGTAGCATTTGCATTAGTAATGAAATCATCCTTACAATTAATTTTATTCATGTAGGGCTCACCCTCCACTCACCACATTATGCCACATGGCAAAACCTCAAGCTTTTTTTTTTTCAATTTTTTAAAAGTTTATAAATATATTTATAAATTTTTAATTTTTTTATAAGACCCACTTTACCATGTTTATTTATTTTTTTAACAAATTTTTTTTTTAACTTCATCGTTGAATAAATTTTGTTTTTGTACGAATCTTAACTCAAGTGTAGCATGGCATTCCTTTTTTCTTTTTTTTTTTTAATTTTTAAAACTTTTTTTATTAATTTTTCTATTTTTATATTGAATAGGTTTTTTCATTTAATTTTTTAAAAAAGTTGGACATATCTTATACTAATTTTTCCTTTTTTTTCTTTATTTTTTGTAAATATTCTTTTTAGATTTTAAAATTTTTTATGAGATCTGATGCCAAAGATATGCCATGTCTATTCTTTTTGCTTTTTCGTCTTTTTCTTTCTATTTTTTGTTCTTTTATTTTTTATTTAAATAATTTTATTGAGATAAAAATTCATAAACTATTTTATTTTTTTATTTTTTTAATTAAATAATTTTATTGAGAAAAAATTGACAAATATGTACAGGTGACACTCCATTTTACTTTTTTTTTTTTGCTTTTAAGGTATTTTTATTTTTTTTATCTTTGTAACCAAATAATTTACAACAAAAAAAATCGATAAATAAATGATCCGCGACAACAAATAAACCCTTTTTAGTTGAAATAAATTTTTATTATGAATAAATTATAAATAATGTATTTATTTAAAAATTATACTATGCAATAGTTTTTATATTTAATTTTGTTAATATAACATTATTATAATATTATAATATCGTCATCACTTTCACTTGCACATATTCCTAGCTACGTATGCCACTGCGTAGGAAAATAAAAGGGTTATATACTTTGTTATATGCAATAATCATGACCAAAACAAACCGCCCCAAAGAATAAAGTTGTAAGTTAAGAATATTCACTTGGTCAACTGATCATCATATGTTAATACAAAGATTCAATGATCCTAATCTTGCAATGTCATTAACATTTTTATCTAAAAAAATTAAATCAAGCGTTTGTATATATGTAGTCTAATGATTGGTAAATGCTTTAAAATTTCAAGAATATAATCCCTGAATTGATCTACAATTGCAGCATCGCATTATTATTCTTGGAAAAGTGAATCATATTTTTTAAGCTGTCTCTTCTCACTTTTTTTTTTTTTTCATTTTTGTTCATTCCTATCAAACATAATGTTAGCTTTACCTATGCATGTAAAAGGGTTTGTTTACCAATGCACTAAACCTTAGTATTCATTGCAAACCATGAGCCGAAAACTTGTGGGCCTAACTCAACTATAAGGCAAATTGCTGAGGTGGTTCACAACAATGGAACAAGGTCAAGTGTGAAATGAATTAACCAAAGAAAAGAAACACAAAAAGATGGTCACGGTCGTGTTGTAATTGAATGACAAGTGAATGAAATTGGAAGAAAATAAATAATAAGGGAGATCAGAAATGGTTTTTT